TTACGTGTATATCTCTACTAAGAACATCTTTCCAAACCTTAATGTATAACTTTGGCGAGTCAATCCTATTTATATATAAAAAGAATGATATAACAAGATTGATATAATGTTCATTTTTAGTATAATTCAATTATAAATGGAAACTCTTTAAATTATTTGTAGTAGAGATATACACGGAAGGCTCTCCAATAAGGGGGCAGCAATCTCCCAAATGATCCATGAGAAGATGAGGAGAGGACGAAGAGGCCGCAATAGGTGATATGAGCGGATCGGCGGCCGATGCTCCCGATCGTTGACCGCCACGCCTCAAAGGCAGACATCGCGCAACAATAGGCGAGGCACGTCGCTGCCCACATCTTCGAACTACCATAGTAATAATTATGCTATTCTCCGATGATATCACTTTAATTATAACCCTTGCTCGGAAGAGCCCATAAGAGCAGAACGAATCACAAATTACAAGAATTATATATATACATACAAATATATCTAAATGGAAATCTATCAAATAATTAATTTTTATAGTAGGATAATTGACATACGTACCACTTTATATTAAAAAAAATACTAAAATAATTTTTGAAGAAACAAAAAAATTTATCCTAAATAAAACCTTAGTTGCATATAATGATAATCTATTATACGTTTATGTATAGTTTCATATCCAAAAAAAAATTAGTTGAACAATTATTTTATAATTGTAAATATTATTCACATGTAATTCGTCATTTTTTTTTTATATAGACGCATTAATGTTTAACTAAAAAAATTACTTACTCATGCCTTCAACAAAATGTAAAATAGAGCATAAACAAAAAAGAATTTGCCAAAAATTAAGACTTATTTTAGGACAACTTTATTGTTGTTTTCTAAAGTAATTTTCTAGGACGAAAATATTTAGTTCAACAAATTTTTGTACTATAAATCTCTTTAAAACCAGTAAGAAAGTTGTCTCAAACGAAGTCTATCATAAAAAGGATATCACCTTTGATCGCTATAATTTCATATAAAAAAAAAGTTGCACAATTATTTTATCATTGTAAATATTATTAACATCTAATTCATCTTTTTTTATATAGATACATTAATATTTAACTAAACAAAATCACTTACTCATGCCTTCAAGAAAATATATAAGAGAGCATAAAGAAAAAAGAATTCGCCTAAAATGAACAAAAATATTTAGTTTAAGAAAAATTTTGTACTATAAAACAGTAAGAAAGCTATCTCAAACGAAGCTTAAGACTCGCATTCGTAAAAGGAGATATTATCTCCTAAAAATTTTCAAATTTCTTACAAAATAAAAAACTTTATCCTTAACGTAGAATGTATTGTACATCAAACAATAAATTTTTGGTTCGTTTACATACTTACTATTTTATATAATATAATTATTTGATATATTCAAATTTAGATCTGTTAGTTCTTGTAATTTGTAATTTGTTTGGAGTCTCTGGGCTCTTTTGAGCAAGAGTTACAAAGCTATATCGCAGGAGAATAGCTGAATTATTACCGTGGTAGTTCGAAGATGTGGCCAGTGTCGTGCCTCGCCTCTTGTTGTGAGTGCGAGGCATGCCGGTTACCGCTCGGGAGCATAGGCCGTCAGTCTGCTCGAATTGCCTACTGTAGCCTCTTTGTCCTCTCACTAATCGTCTCGTGGATCCTCCAGAAGATTGATGCTCCCCTATTGGAGAGCCTTACATGTTTATCTCTACTATGAACCTGACCCATTTTCGAAACTGGTTGGGTCTAACCCAAAATTTCTAGGTAATGTTCGAGTCGGATTTTCGTGTCGTGTCAAATATTGACATCCCTATCATAAATATACACACCCTTCAAGCATTTACATACACTCATCCTCCTCATCAGCCTACATGCAGAACCTCACACATGTGAGATGTCTATCCTCCATAAATAGCTATGTCGGATTTTTTTTTTTCTTTTCATTTAAGAGTTGAAACTAAGTTGGATGCAATAAAACAATGTCAAAAAAAATTGAACAATTGCTATGTGTATTGAGCCGCAAGTCAATACAAGTTGCATGAAACAAATACCAGCACACGACAATTGCCTAACTGCTTCATCTCCTTCATCAAATGGTGATTGACAAATCACGCACTCTCTGTCATTTCCTCTTCCCCCCTCCAACCCCCACTTCCTTCTTATGATATTTGGAAGTTGGAATCCAATGCCGCATTTCTAAGTCATAATGCTCACAGCTGAGCAAGCCGCAGACTGAGAGAAATTAGCGTCGAACCCAAGTGCAATAACCTATTGTCGTTGCATTCACTCATTGATGGACCTTGACTTTTTAACGTTGTTTATCCTACCACATTGGATATTTGTTTTTATCGTTGACCTGATCTCCAACCTTACTGCATTTTTATTGTTGTTCATCTTGTTTCGGTTGAATATGTAAAAGATGTTGTGAAAATGATTGTTGAAACATTATAAACTACATTTCACTACAGGAAATTCAGCTGTTATCAGCGGCTTTGACCGGCGGTTTAGCCGCCGGGTATTACCGGCGGCACACAAGCGGTTATCTAAGTTAAGACCGCCGGGTATTACCGCCGGCAAATTGTTTCCTACGCCATTTTTTTCGGCGGTTCGATAACCGACGAAAAGCCGCCGCTGATTTTGAAAACCGCCGGTGTTACCACCCAAACCGCCGGAAAAAGCCGCCGGTTTTGGGTGATTTTCCTGTAGTTTTTGTCAGGTGCCATAACTGAATATTGATGTAGTTTATAATGTTTCAACAATCATTTTCACAACTTCTTTTACATATTCACCGAAACAAGATGAACAAGAAGCTCTGAGTAAATTTACTGGTCCGCTATCCAAATCATGGCAGCATTTGTTCAGAGGTTGCAGAAGAGAGGAAACTACTCTACTACAACGCTGAACTTCACATGCTGCCAGAATCGTGTGGGTAGCTTTCCTTGCTATCATTATAGTAAAACAACTCATTTCCGACAGAATTTTCGGACGATTTTTTGATTCATTTTCCGGCGAATTTATTTCCGAGGAAAATTCAGACCAAAATTAGTTTTTTTTTTCTTAAATAATGACTATAATAAATATTTATTATAGGTTATTATTAATTATTTCGTTAAATTAAGTTAAATAATTTATTCATCTTTTTTTATATAGATACATTAATATTTAACTAAACAAAATCACTTACTCATGCCTTCAACAAAATATATAAGAGAGCATAAAGAAAAAAGAATTCGCCTAAAATGAACAAAAATATTTAGTTTAAGAAAAATTTTGTACTATAAAACAGTAAGAAAGCTATCTCACCTCTTCCTCCTCCCAACCCATGCTTCCTTCTTGTGATATTTGAATGTCGAAATCCAACGCCACATTCCAAGCCATTGAGTTCACGGTCGAGCAAGCCGTGCAATGAGAGGAATTGACGTCAAAACCAACTGCAGCAAACCATTGCAGTAGCGAAAAAACCCATTGCAGCAAACTAGCCAATAGAAAGCACCAAACAGTTTGGTGCATTCTAAAGACGGTTATAGTTGCAAAATTTCATTAAAGTTCGGGCAAAATTTTATACTAAGTATCATTAGCATCGTAATTAACTGATTAAGCACGCATAATAGATGTATTTCAAACTAGGCAAAATTCCCGTTTAGGGGAACGTGCGAGTTGCTCATTATTATTATTTTTTAAATCATATAAATTCTGAATTTGTATGTATATATAGATTTGGCAAATTTTTTATGACAGTTAAAATGTGATTACTAATTTTTTTAATTTGGGATATTTATAATTTTTACATAAATTAGTCATTTAATTAGATGTAAGAATTTTAAAATTATATCTTGACATAATTTTGAAATAGTTTTTTTTTTTAAATATTATAAAATTACGCATTTAAATTTAAATGTGTATACGACGGAGGCTCTCTGCGGAGAAATTTGTCAATGGAACTCGTTGAAGGCATCTCAGAGACTCTTTGAAAATGATTGTTCATTTGTAGACATCAAAGCCCTATTTGTGTGTCTATAACAATCAAATTATACATTTATTTTATTATTTCTTTAGTGTAACATATTTTATAGGCTTCCTAACCCTATAAACATATAGTTGAAATGTGTTTTTGGGACTTAATGCTAGTTATTATTCAAAAAGAGATTTATTTCTCTAGAGCTTTTCTTCATACTCTCCCATTAGAGCAAAAAATATCCCTTAGAACAAACATTTATTTATAAATGGTGGTTTCTCTTATGATTTATATAATATTTTTATTAAATTAGTAAAATATGAATATCTCACTTAAGATAATTATTAAAAATGGTGATGATTAAGAGGAATATGTTTTAAAACTTATTATTTTATTAATAAAAATATTTTGAAGACTTTGATGCAATGTTGAAAATAGGGGTGTCAATTCGGGTCGGCGGGTCGGGTTCGGTCGAACCCGAAATTGACCCAGCACTGTTCGGGTCAACTCGAACCAGACCCATTTTTAAAAACGGGTTAGGTTTCCGGACCCGAACTCGACCCGATTCGGGTCCGGATCAACCCGACCCGACACGAATGACCCGATTTCCTGGCCCATACCCGACCCGATTCGTGTCCGGATCAACCCGACCCGACACGAATGACCCGAAGTTGACCTAAAATTGTTAATTTTCGGGTCAAAATCGGGTCAATCTAGGGTTTTCGGGTCAAATATTAGTTTTCGTGTCACTTTCGGGTCAATTTCGGGTTACTGGGTCAACCCAAACCCGACCCGTTTCAGGTTCGGGTTGACCCGAACCCGGATTTTTCCGGGTCGGGTTCGGGTCGTGTTTCGGGTCGTGTAAAAAAATTGACATCCCTAGTTGAAAACACAGAGTAATAAAATATTAATGATAAAAATATTTAATTTTAATTTTATAATATATTTTGTAATTGTATGCTATAATAAATTAATAATATTACCACATTAAAAGTTAATCGGCATATATTTATATACATATATCTATTTATATTTATTTCACGGGAGTTACAACCGTCCAAGTGGGAAGTTTCGAGCCTGTTCCCTCTGCTTCTCCTCCTCTTGCCCTCCCCGCGCACTCGCCCATCTTGATTCACTCTCCGCGGTCGCAATCGCCAGAACCAGCGAGATGCCGAAGAAGTTGGGAACGAACACGAAGGCGGAAGCAGCCCGTGCTCGGAAGGGCGCGGCGGAGGCGGAGAAGAAGGAGCGCGAGTCCCGGGAACGGGAGGAGCGCTACTGGAATGAGGCGGAGGGTCCGAAGTCTCGTGCTGCCAAGAAACGGGAGGAGGAGTTGGAGAAGCGCGCTGAGATTGCCGCTCGACGAGCTGAGAATCGCAAGCTCGCCGAGCAGGAGCTCCTCGATCTGGAGAAGGCCAGTCGCAAGCCCGACCCTAAGGCTAACCGAGTCGCCGCCCCTGTACCTAAGGTAACCGAGGCCGAGTTATCTCGCCTTCGAGAGGAAGAGCGTCTCCGTCTTCTACGAGAGGCCGAGGCTGCTAAGAAGCGCCAGAGCCGAACCGCGGACGAGGAAGAGTACGAGAGGATGGTGCTCATCAGCAACACCAACAGGGACGATTCAGTCATCGAAGCGCACTCCGTAGATGAGGCGATTGCGAAGATGGTTGTCACCGACGCAACGCTACCACCGGATCGCCATCCAGAAAGGCGGCTCAAGGCTTCGTTTAAGGTGCGCTTGTTTAGGGTGTATATATTCTGTTTATGTTTATTCTCTTACAAAATTCATGCTAATAATGGCTAGAAACGCAATATTGAGGACAATTTTTTGTGGATTGTTGGCGATATAGTAGTTATAATTAGAAATTAGGATATACGAAGCTAACTAAAGAAGAGATACAATTGGAAAATTTTGGTTTAATGCTGAATGGGCATATCCCAGTAGAACGAGTGGGCATTGAATTATAGGCGAATTAAGCCTATCAAAGGACTTTGTGCCACTTCTTAGGATCTAGAACTAAAAGGAGAGCATATTTCAAAGCATGAGATTGATGACTTTTGTTTGTCCAACAGTTTTGGAATGGTAAGCCAAGCTTAATTTGAGACTCGACCTTAATAGTTTCCAAAGCTCTTGCCTTAGTTAGATATGAGGTTGCAAGGGAGATTATAAAGTAGAATGATCTCACAGAAGAATTGTCAAGCGACATAGAGAGCGAAAGTGTGCTATTTGGAAAACCTATCAACAATGACCATTGTGGAATGCACAATTCATTTGGTTTGTGGTAGGCCCAATACAAAATCAAGACTTAGATCCTCTCAAATTGAATATGGGCCTATTAGGGGTGTGTATAATTCAATATTTTGGGCTATTCTCTTATAAACTTGGCATGTGAAACATCTTTTGACGAACTTGGAACATCCCTCTGTTATTTAGGCCAAAAAACTTGGAGTGGAGCTATGTCAAAGTTTTAGCACGGTCAACATGGTTTGCAAATCCAATTGTGTGTGAATAAGCTGTATCCAGAGGGATGTGTCTAAAATGCAATGTTGGTTACCTTTAAATAAGTATCAATGAAAAATCAAACAGTCTTCTATCGAGTATGAAGTAGTGCACTATATCCATGGAGCAAAAAATTTGCGATCAATGCTATACAAATACTTCAAAGATTCCAACCTAGTGATTTTCATATGCAACATGGCTAGAAGGGTAAACCGCTTGCTTAAAGTGTCAGCAGTTTGATTTTGTGGGTTGCCTATATGTTTGAATAAAAAATATATATCCTATAGAAAATAGAAACAACACTCAATGGGCATGCATCTGACTCTATGATTTTTGTGAATTGAGAAATTACCAGGCTTAATGTGTCATACTTTAAAATTTTGGGAGAAAGTTATGGAGCATAGACTACGTCGTGATACTAATGTTTCTCAAAATCAATTTGGATTCATGTCGGTAGGTTTACTATGGAAGCTTTACATTTATTGAGAGGTTTGATGAAGAAGTATGGAGAGAATAAAGAGTATCTACGTATGATATTTATTGTTTAGAGAAAGCATATGATAAAGTTCCAAGAGAAGTGCTATGGAGAGTTCTATAGAAGAAAGGGATTAATAATGCTTATATTCAAGTCATTAAGGATATGTAGGTAGGAGCTATTACCTGTGTTCAAACACTAGATGATTTGTCCAAGTATTTTCCTATTTCAATTGGATTACATCAAGCATCATCCTTAATCCCATATCTTTTTTCTTTAGTTATGGATGTCCTTACTAGACATTTGCAAGAGGGATGTACCCTGTTGTATGCTTTTTGCTGATGATATTCTTCTTGTTTATAAGACTAGAAAGGGAGTTGAAGGTAAACTCGAATTATGGAGGTCAACTTTAGAGTTCAAAGGTTTTCGTTTGAGTAGATCTAAAATCGAATACATGGAGTGTAATTAGTAGTAATAGATTAAGTGGTGGGATTGTGACTTCGGGCTATCAAGTCATTAATAAGAGTACACGTTTTAGATATATTCGGTCTATTGTCTAGAGTGATGGTGAAATAGATGGGGATATTATTAATAAAATTCAAATTGGATGGTTGAAGTGGAGGAATGCATCGGGTTTGTTGTGTGATAGAAAAATACCCCTAAAACTTTAAGGGAAAATTTATAAGATGGTGGTGAGACTTGCAATGCTTTATGGCACAGATTGTTTGCCATTAAAAGAGAAACATAATATTAAGTTAAGTGTTGCAGAAATGAGGATGCTTAGATATATAAGTGGCTTTACTCTTAGGGATAGGATACGAAATGAGCATATATGTGAAAAGGTTGGAGTTGTTCCAGTGGCAAATAAGATTAGAGAGAGTCGCCTTAGATGGTTTGGTCACATAAAGCGACAGCCTTCTGATGATCCGGTTAGGAGAGTAGATGTGTTAGATTTGGCTTATGTTAAGAAAGGTAGAGGTAGACCTAAGAAAACTTGGTTAGAAAATATTAGAAATGACCTTTTTTTATTAGATTTAAAAGAGAATTTGACTCTTAACAGGGTACAATGGAGAAAAAATATTCATGTAGTCGACCCCACATAGTGGGATAAAGGTTTGATGTTGTTGTTGAGAAATTACCAGGCTTGGTTATAGCATAACCCGAAGTCTTAGTGTAGGAGATAATATTCTCATTGTTTGAGAGCACGAATTGTTGCAGATAGCTTTTGTTCACTAACTGCCCACTTTTGTCTCAGGACACTTAATTTTTCTCTTAAATTATTCAATAGGTCGTCCTTTTTAGGATAAGATAGCCCAATCCCGTCAATGGAGGCATAGTGTCTTGACATGAAACAATTTGTCGAAATCGTGCTCATCGCATTCTTGATAATATCAAGTTGTTTTATTGCTCACTGGATTAGTTGAATTTTTTTTATTTCAGGCAGTTAGTGCTAGAGGGCATGATCATGCTAAAGCCTCATTTGAATTAGCGGTTAAAGTTTGTTAAGTTGTGGAAACTGTTGCCGTTTAAGAGAGAGGCCATTGTTGGCCAATTTTGAATGACTGCAACATTCTTTGATCCATTTGGATTTCCGCAATGCTTACTATGAAATCAAGGAAGTGAACAGTTGGTGTTGCAAACTCACATGTGGACAAGTTGAGATACATTAATTTATGTATTAGAAAAGACAAAAAGATATTTGTTAGGTGTTGCAAATGATTATCTAAGAAAGCGTTATATGCTAAGATATAATGAAAACATATAACACAAAAAGAATCTATAAAAGGTTCGAGTACATTATTCATAACTCATAAGCCACTTAAATGTACTGGTTTTATTGCAAAAACCAAATAGCATAACTTCCACTTGTAAAGAACTTCATGAGTTTTAAGTTGGTTTTTGCGTATCACCTGGTTGGATGCAAATTTGATGATATTTACTCCACAAATCCAATTTGGAGAAAATGATAGTGTTGGCCAGTTTGTTCAACTGTCCTTCAAATAATGCATCAAAAAATAATATTTGATTGTTTTTTTTTGTTGAATGCACAAACACACATTATTATCATAGTACTATAACAATTATAACGAACAACTATTACTCAATCATTTGCTCACATTCATTTCCAATACATTGTAATAAATAAAGCATAATTGAGCTTAATTTAGAACGTGCCAAAATGTCCTAATGGTAGGCAACTAAGACACTACTTAGCAAAAATTCACAATTTCAAAACATAACCAAATTATCATAGGACATATTGAATCGGTGGACATTTGCTCAATTTTCAGGAGCATGAATGGATAATACTTTTAAGTTTGAGAACTTTACCTGCATCATTTGGTTATCATGCTAAGGTTAAGATGGATAAGCCCAGGGCTGCAAGGAGATTCATTTCAGCTGCTATTTGCATTCTTATTTATACTCAGTTTCTCCCTCAGTTTTATTTTACAGCAACAGTATTCATTACCTATGGACCAGCATCTTGATTCTCTCTCGTACATGCTAGCTATTTAGCATTTTGCAGATATGGGTATCCAGTGTCTGTGAGTATAATGTTGCATTGCTGCATGACACTTTGCTTGTCAATCTCTTTAACGAGTCAACAAGTGAGATAATATTGGCATGTTCTGTGGGATGAGAAACAAATGCATACAATTACATGTATGGACCATGGAAATAAACTATATCATTGTGAATGGATTTGCATTGGTTTTTTAATTCTGATTTGAATAATTTCGTTTTGAGCATGTTCCTACCATTGCGTCTATGGTCTAAATCTTTTCCTTCAGTTTACTGCTTCATGCTCTTAGTTTTATTGTGTATGCAATCTGACATACTATGGCCTTTGCTAATGTTGGCAATTGATAGATGGCTGGTTGGTATGTGGTTGGATTCGATCAACATCAAGCCTTTGTCCCACTACGTGGGAATTTTTTAACGGATTCATGTCATGATTATTTGACAAGTTTTATGCTGGATGTCGACTACCTAACACAACCCTCCACTTCTTTTCCAGGACTTGGGACCTGTCAATGTTCTTAGTAGTTCTTTTTGGCCTTTATACTTTTATGCGAGTCTTTCTTTGGAGATTCTTTTTCTTTCGGTATGATTTATAGTTTATCTTCATTTCAATTTAGGTAGATCTCTTGGTGGAACTTTTAATTAGAATATCATTGATCTGTTGTTTTTCTTCTAGTCATATCATTTATTCTCCTGTTTTCCTCCTTAGGTCCTCTGCTAATTATTATCTGCCTTGAGCAAGATGCATGTCAGCAATCTTTATTAATTCATTTTTGTTAAAACTAATCGCAACAAAAAGTTCTCTGATTTACTTTTTTCTTTCACTCGTCTCTTCTAGTTTTATTCAACGTTGGTTTATAACATTCTCCTTAAGTTGTTGTTGTTGTTGTTCTTTTTTTTTTTTTTTTTTTTTTTTTTTTTTTTTTTTTGAGTTTTGTTCTCTGCCTAAGTTAAGTGTTGCAGAGATGAGGATGCTTAGGTGGATGAGTGGCTTGACCCTTAGAGATAGGATACGAAATGAACATATACGTGAAAAAGGTTGGAGTAGCTCAAGTGAAAGATAAGATCAGAGAGAGTTGCCTTAGATGGTTTGGTCACATTAAACGAAGGCCTTATGATGATCCGGTTAGGAAAGTTGATGTATTAGATTTGACTTATGTTAAGAAAGTTAGAGGTAGACCTAAAAAGACTTGGTTAGAAAATATTAGAAACGATCTTTCTTTATTAGATTTAAATGAGAATTTGACTTTTAACCGGACACAATGGCGAAAAAGGATTCATGTAGCCGACCCCACGTAGTGGGATAAAGGCTTGATGTTGTTGTTGTGAGTTTTGTTCTCTGCCCTACCCCTAGGTCCATACTTCATGGTTATCTTAATGAGTTGCATGCATCCTTTATGAAGTTATTGGAAGAAACTTTTCATTCATATATTGATTAATCATGTTCTCTTAGCACCTCATGAATTCCTTTTTTTAACTATGTTAATGTTCTTCTTCGAGAAGATAATCTAGAAATGATCTTTTTTATTAGATTTAAATGAGAATTTGACTTATAACTGGACACAATAGAGAAAAAAGATTTATGCAGCCGACCCCACGTAGTAGGACAAAGGCTTGATGTTATTGTTGTTGAGAAGAAATCTAAATCCTCTTTCAATTAGTTAATGAAAGTTAATAAAGTATCATACATATGAATATTAGGATGGTGAGTTATCGTGCTGCTCTTTTTATGGGTCGTAGAGTAGATTTAAAGCATTTGGTAGATTTTCTTCTTTCTCTTTTAGTTAATAACTTTTGAAGTTTATTATGGGCATGATTGGTCTAACATGAGCACAACTGCACATTGATGGTGTCCCTGGCTTGTGAGTCCATTTTTGCTCCCTGGTTTGTGAGTTCATTTTTGCCCTTCATTCTTATTTAGAGCTGTATATGGTGTTAATTCTGCTGTCAGAATCTTACTTCTGAATGGCTTCTAATAATCTTTAGCCTTGACAAGCTTGTTTTGCTTATTATCCTTTGCATGCTATTTTAAAACTTTGCTTATCATGCTTTGTCCAGTGTATATTGCAAGTGTTCATATCATGATAGCCTAGAACCTTGTCATCAATGGATGCCGCCGCTATGCTTTTCTAGTGGAAATATACAAAAGGCGCTTTTGGGTTCCCTAGTAACTTGGGTTTTGTTACCATCACTTAATGGCGTAGGATCTGCATTTTGCAAAAATTCTGCTCATTTGTCAGCTAGACAGAGTGTTTGATAGGTTATTAGATTTCTCTGACAGGATTCTTGTTATGACAATTATCATTATTTTCCTACAAAGTCATCAAAGTCTTTTGTTCCCTTTCTATACTCTTCATAATAAAATTTATAATGTTATAATTTAGAAACTTTGTTTGGTCTTGTTATGCGGTTGTTTTGCTGTATGTAGGAGCAAAATTACCGGTAATCTTTTAGAAATGGACAATTTGCTCAGTTAGTGTATTTTCCGTGGTTGTGAATCCATGACAAGGTGCAATGTGAGACACATCAATTTATTGTGCACTTTTTCTGAGCCAATCAAAATTATGATATATCGAGTAATTGAAGGCAAAACCATAGAAAAACTTTTCCAAACCAAGCTTTACACGTATACTTTCTGAATTTAAAGTAATCCCATATATGAAACAGACTATTGGTTAAACGTAGTGGGACATATTATCTGTTGTTTATTACTTGGTTCAAGGCAATTTTGTGCATGGCCATTTGGTTACTGAATCGTAGGATTCTAACTGCAGGCATTTGAAGAAGCTGAGCTTGCTAGGCTGAAGGAAGAGAAACCAGGTTTGACCCTGACACAGTACAGGGATATGGTATGGAAACTATGGAAGAAGTCCCCTGACAATCCCCTTAATCAACAGGTACATTTCAGAGTAATGTATACATGCAACATATATCTTTCTGAGTGTGCTACAAGGAGGAATTTACTTACTCTGTTTTAATTGTTTTCCATGCATGCATCAATCTTCACTCTTACAAGCTCCATTAAACTCATTGCTTATATTTATTTCTCGTACACTTTATGTTAGATATTGTCTTTTTGTCTTGCTTGCCTAGTGAATGTCATGACATCAGCCTGGGTTGGTGAGGATTGTTGAATCTGAGCGTAACTGCAATTTAAAAGCCTGTTGGTATTAAAGTTAAACATTTACGATGTATCAGTCATCGAAGTAGTAGTGTTTGCTTTCACTTGCGTCATGTGTGTTTGGCTTGCCCTCAAGGAAGGATTAAGAAGGAAAAATGTTTTTATAGAAGGTTTTTGCTTGCACCACGGAAACTTCTCCTGTGTATTCTTTTGTATCTATTTTTATCTATGACTTTGCGCTACTGACTGAGTTGTTGCGAGTCCCAGCACTAAAAGCATTGACACTGTTATGGTTTAAACTGTTAATTCAAATTCATGGCAAATTGTGGCAGGAATCCATGAAACATGCTTCTTTTTCTTTGTCAACATATTTTGTAAGCATATTCTGAATTTAGGCCATCAGAAATCCAGACCTTGGCTCCTTTTTCATGAATACTAGTAACAAACTCATGAGAATTCTTAATTGCATATGAAGGTAAGAAAAACTGGCCAGGACTTCATTCTGCTGGACATGTGATAAATGAACATGATTTCCTTGCGAAGACAAAGTTGACATGATTTAGATTGTGCATATGTTCTGATTTTCCATTTAATTGGGCAAGGGAAGAACATGATAAGAACACTCATGGGTGTTCAAAACTATTTGAAGTTTCTTGACATATGTAAGTTCACTTATGTGTTGAGTGTTTGATTGGAAATTCATAATATTCATTAAGATTATGCTATGAATATGATGAATATTAATCAATTTTGGAGTATTAATAATATCTTATGTGTACTTCTATTAGTTGTTAAAAGTGCGAGCATGTAGTGTGAATTAAAAGGGTACTTTAAAGCATGCTTTTGAAGTTAAGCACTTTGGTGCGGAGGCACAAAGCTTTACTTCGCTGTGAATGAAAATCTAGGTTAATCAATTGTGGATTTTTAATAATATATGATGTATACTTCTATAAATTATTTGATTGAAGACTATTATTGTTAAAAGCATGATTCAAAACATGCAGTGTGATTAAAAGTGCACTTCACTTCACATCATGCTTTTGAAGTTAAGCATTTTGTTGCGTGGCCAAAGCTTTATAAATTCTCAATGATGAAGAATAGCTTGGAAATTGCAAAAGAATCTCTTCAAGATGGGGAAGTTGTGGGAAGTTGTGATGGGATTTTATTGTGATAGGCACTGATGGAACTTGTGGTGTGTGAAGGACAAAGAAGATTCGAGGAAGTTGCAATGGTATCTCACTGGGAAAGGGCATACACGGAACTCGAGGCATTTGAAAGATGAAGAAGAAGTGGAGAAGTGGCAATAGGATTTTATTGGCGGAGTGCAACGATGGGACCAATGGCATGTAAAAACAAAGAAGAGTTCGGTGATGAGAAGTTAACAGAGAGGGCAAGGAAGGTGTTTTTTATTATGTTGTTCAAAGATTTGAGTGTTATGTGAGTAAATAGAAAGTTTTAGGCAGTAAATATATAAATAAAATAATTTTGAGGATTATGTATGTGAATTCCCCTTCTCATTTTTCTTAAGTTTTTTTTTCTACTTAAGCAATCAAATGCAACCTGCCTTATGTGTGAGCTAGCTAGCGATAGCAAAACTTTCTCCTATTGGCATATTGCCCAAAAAAATAGAAGTCTTTGATTCTTGCTTTTGTTTCTGATTAGCACTTAAAACGGATCTTTTGTGCTTTAGAACTAAAATTTTGTTTTTCATGAACAGGCTTCTGAGTAATGGTTAGGCTGCAACCAATGTACCATAAGGCAAGTTTGACTTCTAACTTTCCACTTCATTTCTTAATGATCTGATCATCCTTTTTCATTTCTTTCCATTTCTAGGTCCTTGGATGATTTTGGTGTTTCCGAATAAGTAAAAGGAAAAGACTCTCATTGTTTTATGTACCTTTGTAATAAGTTGTTGCTTGCTGTTCATCTTATGATAAATGTGTTCGGTAATTGTGGAATTGATTCAACAACTATTATGTAATGAGTCATGATTATCTGGTGAATTGGCTGTAAGAAGAAGTGCAAACTGTGCATGCACTTTAATGAACATTTGACATTTCATTATGATTATGTTCTTTATGGAAGTTGTTTTGCTACAATTAAGGCTTTGTTTGAGAAAGATTTTTTACTGTTTTTGTGCATGAATCACTGTTTGTTTGGATGAAAATTATATAGTTTTTTTTTCCTATTTTTCAAAAAAGGCCTTAGGGCATCTCCACCAACCGAAAATCCCACAGGAAACTCAAAAATGTTGTGATTCATTTCCAATCGAACTCTAGTTTGTGCGCTTCTGTGAAGGTTACTGTCTTCTCCTCTTTCACGTGTTTCTTCGTCAAATCCGGTTGAGACAAAAAATCGCGTAGGTGAACAGTGCAACGCCAATATTGACGTCGCACTGTTTACCCTCCACTTATTAGCTATTTTTTTGCCGTTCGAATGGAGCAAATCAGCTACGTCTTACAGTCGTTTGGAGTTGGGCTGGAGATGCCCTTAGAAATATTATTTTTGGGAAAGTGTGATGTAAATTTTGTGCTGTCTATATAATTTATTTGGAGGGAAAGAAATGTAAGAAAATTTGAATGCCAATTCGGCTCTATTTCAAAATTTTGTTTTAAAATCAAAGACGCCTTATCAGCTAAAATTTGTGGTTGGAGTGCTAAGGATTTGGTTGTCTTTACTGTATTAATCTGTTTTTTCTGCGGCTTTCTGGATTTTTGTTGCTCTTCTCCGTTTTCCAAAGTGCTGCTTTAGATCTGCTGTTTTGGTGATTTTAGTGACCTTTTGCTATTTCTCCCTTGGTTGGTCCTTTGGTAACTAGGAGAAATTACTCTGTGCAAATGCTGGATCATTTGGAGGCGAATCAGAACTTGGCACATCATTCAATACACAGCTGCTGTATACAACAAACAGATGATATTACGTGTTTTGATTCGCCTTCGAACGGCGTTCGTATTCACACAGAATAATTTCTTAGCTAATACTGAGCCCTACTTTTTTCTTTTCATGGCTCTTTTTTAGTCTTCTTATGCTGTAAATTTTTTTTTTTTCATTATGTTATATTGTAATTTCTTTTTTCCTTTAATGAAATTGGGCTATGCCCCAATTTCCCCAAAAAAAGCCATGCCAGCATGATGTGATTTATCAAATGAATTGATTTCTTTGGCCGAGATGTCAGCATGACAGTATATGCTGCATTACTTATAATTTTAAGAAACATGAATATTCATTTTAAAATCAAAATCTACAAATTTAAATACATTTTTTTAAAGGTAAATTGATAACAATAATTCTTTAATTTATTATGAAAGATGAAATAATTTTAAATTATATTAAATGATCATTTTGAACTCTTAATTTTTTTAAAGATGAATTAAAATAGTTTTGTCATGAGTATATATTGATTCTTCGAATTTGAGGGATTCGGGATTCAAATGATTCTTTAATTGTTTGGATCATTTTGATCATTGAAAAAAGTTAAGGAGTTATTTTGATTATTTTTTTAATTATAAAATCTATTTTTAATATGAAAAGTATATTATGACATTATTTTGAATAAAAATATTAAATATTTGATATTTTAGATATTGAAAAACGGCATTTAGGGCAAGTATATTTTTACAAATATCAAGCAAACTTGAACTTGGGTGTGAATCTCCTAGTCAAATACCCTTAGGGGTGTTTGGTATAGGATTGGATTCAATTTTAATATGATTTATTAAATCCTGTAAATATGGATTTAGTAAATCTTATACTCATAAATACTCAAAAGTGTTTGGTATGAAAAATATTAGATCCCGTTAAATCTCTGAAGTTGTTTGGCAACAAATTGCGCCGCAGGAAGAAGTTTCGCGACTGAGCGTTAAATCCGAATAATAATGGGATTAAGATTTAAATGGATTTATCAGATTTATGCCGCAAATTCGTAAATCATGAATTTACGAATTTGTCAGATTTACATGATTGCTTTAGGTTGGATTTATGCTAAATACTACTAAAAATGATGAATCTGATACCAAACACCCCCTTAGGTGGAATTTTTATTAGGTCTGGTATCCTAACGTAGCTCTACGTTCATACGCTAGTAAAATGGTATCACGTGCTCTTACTCTTTACCGTGCGGCCCGACGACCCGACCCAGACTGGACCCGGGATTGCTATGTATTGGCTGATTTGTGCAGACCAGGGTATTGCTAGGTATTGCTCGATATTGCTAGGCAATAACGAGAAAGGCCATTATGTCAATACCAATACATAGCAATACCCTGGTTTTGCTAGATATTGCTCAGTATTGCTAGATATTATTCGGTATTACTCGATATTGGTCTTGACAGCGCAATTTTTCTCGTTATTGTCAAGCAATACCTAACAATACCGAGTAATACATAGTAATACCCGAACATAGCAATACCGGATTTCGGCCTAGGTCGGGTCATCGGGCCATACAATAAAAAATAAGAGCACGTGAAGACATATTATTAGTGTCCGGATGTAGAGCTATGTAAAGTGTTTGGACCTAATAATTGTTTCCTTAGGTCACTATCGTGCACAAAACCCTGGCAATCGATTGCATTGTTGGTCTTGTCGTCCATCTTCAGTGAATTCAACTCCAAGAAACCCAGAGACGGCTCGAATTAACAGACAGCGATGAGCAGCATAGGCACGGGGTATGATCTATCCGTCACCACCTTTTCCCCCGACGGTAGGGTTTTTCAGATCGAGTACGCTGCCAAAGCCGTCGACAATAGTGGGTGAGAGCTACAATCTTTGATCCATTTGACCCTCCGCGCGTCTCTGGATTGCTACGCTCGGTGGCCGCTTTTCAATGCTGTTATTATTGTTTTTTTATTGGATTCTCAATTTCTGTGGCGCTGATTAAGCTGAGAATTTTGCTATGTTAACTGATCTTATTTTCTACCAGGACTGTTGTCGGTATCAAGTGCAAGGATGGGATTGTTTTGGTGAGGATTATGTGATCTGGGTAACGTTTCTTTTTTACGTGTGTTTTAAGAGGCTTCTTTTGGTGACGGTGGACTTTGATTTGGTGTTAGGCTGTGGAGAAGCTGATTCCTTCGAAGATGATGTTGGCAGGATCAAATCGGAGAATCCACGCCGTTCACCGGCATTCTGGAATGGTGGGTTAGAATCTAGATATTTCGGTTTTTTTTTTTTCTTTCCTTGCTAATGTTAGCTTTATCTCTTTTGATACAATTGAGCTTTGTTTGGCTTGCACTACAAGCTTATGATGGTTGTTGGTAGCCAGTTTGCCCTGGAATTTGCCTTCAGCTCTGTCAGCGGATATTCAGGAGCTGAATAGAAGCCGGCCTCACTCTCATGTTTGAAATGTCTGTCAGTAGGAAGCTCACGAAAAAACATTTGTTTTGAATACGTTCTAAATGTTAACATGTCGTCCCTAATAGGCTTCTGTAGAGTTTATTGAAAATTCATGGAGATTTCAATTTAGAATAGATTTTCCATTTCCTAGATTTACACTTGCAGTGCTGTGGGAGGCATAGGCACTTAACATAAGTCCCTGTTCATGCTTGTATTCAAGACTTACGTTATGTTATAAGTGATACTGCATCTTTTATAATCTTCGGCATTATATTTTCTTTCATTTTATTGCTCCTCCTTTGTAAGTGCCCTCCTTCTTACATACCCTAACCACTAAACATTTTCTTACAAGCTTATGTTCAATTGGGACGATTAACACACTCTAATATAGTCATCCCAAATATACAAACTCTTTTAGCTCTTTAGGTTTGGGATTTGTTATTTATTTGTTTGCTCAATACTAAGATCCGATCACATGATCAATATTTACTGTAGTCTAATAAAATTTTCCTCTATCCTTCTCTCTATACATAGATTTGCTCTACATCTTAGTAAAAGATTATTAGTTTGGCATGCATTGACTTGTTAAAGTGATACAATTTTCCCTTTTTTTAGAAGTAAATTGACTATTGCTAAATCATAAGCTTATGCAAGTTCAAGTGTTAATTTTCCCATCACATTTCCAACTATAATAATATCACAAATCCCATTTTCCTGGCACTTAAATGTTGATTAATCAACTTTCGTAATATTGTAACATTTCATTCATTTTTTTTCAAGAGCATCAGTTTAGGATTTTTTTTGTGCAACTTGGGAAGTCAATCACATTAGTCATAGAAAGGCCACAAAGCTCATAACAAAAAGATACAAAATTCACAAGAGACTGAGTTCATAACCCAACAATAGCAGAGTCAAAGATGCTACCTCAACTTCGTCATTACTAGCTTTAAAAAAAATTTGACTCTAACATATTATTTAATCAATATTCTTCCAATATATTTGGGCATTATTCTTGGACCATTTGTAAAAATGTTCATGAATTATGATATATAAGTCTCTCTCTTTTGTAAATGTTTATATGATATCTACCATTTTAATGGGCCTGATTTTATCTCCAATAATAATTTTATGATTACGATTAGCATAAAATTTGTAAATTATGCTGATGTTGTTTGGTGTGCATTTTAAAGGATGTCTAACAAGAGAAGAATTTAAGGCATTGGTTGATATTTCATGATATAACTAAAATCATATACATTAAAAGTTGGAATAATACCTTAATTTTTAAAGATTTTTTAAGTCTACATCACAATGCATTGTATGAATTTATATGTCCTAATTAGGGGTGTAAACGAGTCGAGTTTTGGCACTATCTCAGCTTATCAGTTGAAAAGCAAGCTCGAACTCTAGCTTGAGCTCGAGTCGAGCTCAAAAGGCGAGCTCGAACTCAAGCTTGTTCCACTATAAACGAGCTCGAACTGGCTCGCGAGCCTCTGCGGTCATCTGAGTCCGAGCAAGTAGTCCGCCTCCGTCACTTGCGGAAGAAGAAGCTTGCTTTGCTGAAGAAGAAGAAATGGTTGTCCAGTTTAATGTTTTTACAGTTTTTTATTCATGTTTTTTGAAAACTGTGCGGATGTTGTAGGAAGAATGAATAGCTGATGAAGCTAAACCAAAATATCTTTATAGTTTTTTTATTACTATTTTTTGAAAAATGTACATATTTTTTCAAATAAAACTACTGCAGCTTTGAAAACATCAAATTAATATTATATGTATATATAATATAATATTTATTATGTGCAGTTCATGAGCCGGTTTTTAAATCTAAGAAAACATGTAGGTTTTTTCAAACATGCGGGTTTTTAAATTTAAGCAAATAATAGTTGCTTAAAATATTAATAGAAATTCGACCCGGCTCGAGAGCTCATGTTTCAAGCCTCATCAAGCTCAAACTTGAGCTCGTTTAATAAGCAAGCTCAAGCTCGAGCTCGAGCTCACGGCTCGATAAGCTCGGCTCGCAAGCTCGTTAACGAATTGAGGTCGAGCCGACTCGACTCACTTACACTCCTAGTCCTAATTTTGTGCCATTAATTTTTAATGGCATTCTCATAGAATATCTTCCAAGATTAAGATGAATCATTGCCTTATCAATTGCTTTGAATTTCACATATTCCCATTCACATATGCGATTTGCTTTTAATTGTAACATTTAATAGTAAATTTTCATGAATATTTTCATTCACATTTGACATATGACTAATGGATGATGTAATATAATAAGATACAAATAATGTAAATATTAAAATACTTTTATTTTTCCTAATGAATGCATTGTATAGCACATATTAAGGGACATATATGGTGCAAAAAACATAAAGTTGGTACTTACTAAAGTCTATAAAATTTTCTTCTTATAAATAGCAAAGAACACAACTATGACATGCTTATCATTTGGGTGGATAACTTCTTTAAATAAAATGAACCCAATTGAATTAAAATTTAGTTGCGAAAAATTATATAACGTTGGATTTAATTGGATAGATAGAGAATTAAATTTTATATATTTTTTAAGTCGGTTATCATAAATAAGTTATTTCACTCTTTAATATGTTGGAATAATTTTATGTTGCCCATAAGTTTTTTTTTTTCTATAGATCAAGAAATCAAGAACAAAAAAAGCCAATACTAATTTGATTCATAAAGATAATTTTGTTTGATAGTTCATCAAATGTATTATTAGATTTTTTTAAATTGATTATCAGGTGTTTGAGACTTCATCGGGTGTATTATTAGATTTTTTTTAAAAATTCCATAATCAAGAATATATTCAAATTTAATTGATGTTTACGTTAAAAAATGACTCAAATTCAACTTTAAATTCATGTTTTAACCCTCACTTAATTTAGATTCAGCTTTATGAACTTGTTCTGTCACATTTTGATTTAACAAAATTAGATGTAGAATCATATTACTACTATTAATCATTTTTTACATTCAATACATCATTTGAAGTATTACAATGAACTATTTTTTTCATGGGATCAAATTTGTCCATCTATGATTCCCATTGGTGTGCATTTATCAAAAGCCTTACATGAGATGATACTAGTTTTTTCTCAGAAATGTTAACTATAAATGTAATGGTTCTAACCTGAGGATAATTATAATATCTCAATCTCTAAATTTCTGTATAAAGCCTCTTCTATAGTTCGGTTGAGTTTGAGGAAAAAATATATCTTTAAAAAATAAAAAACAATTCAGGTCTGTTTTTAATATTTTTAAAACAAATCAATTTATTTTAAAAATAAAAATAAAAATAAATAAACAAATATATTTTGTTATTTTCTTAACGGTTTAGAAAAATCAAAACAAATTTAAAAAAATCCAAACCTAACCTTAATTATTTTGGTGGCTTTCATTCAAATACAGGCTGTGTCTGGATTAGCAGCAGATGGTAGACAAATTGTTGCAAGGGCCAAGTCTGAAGCAACAAACTATGAAAGGTTTGCATCTTTATTTAATGTATTCGATTTTATGTTTTCAAGCCTTTTCTATATTGAATCTTTAGTATAGATTGTGCTATTTTCCATGTAAGAAATCTTCATGAACAGAATATATGGTGAACCTATTCCTGTGAAAGAGCTTGCAGATCGAGTTGCCAGCTATGTCCATCTTTGTACACTGTATTGGTGGCTGAGGTACAAAATTCATTTAAAAAATTTTATCTTTTACAATCTTCTTGTTATACTTTACTCTGATGATGAATTTAAATTGTATTTATCTGAATAACTAGAACATCAATGTTTACATCATGCTATTACAGGCCATTTGGTTGTGGTATTATTATTGGAGGTTATGATAGAGATGGACCTCAACTATATATAGTTGAACCTTCAGGAGTTTCATATGTGAGTTTAATATATCATTAATGAAATCGTTCCATTAATATTTTCTTGCATATGTATTTATTACTGTATGTAAGCGTGTTGTTTAGAGCTAACTTATAATCTTCATTGATTGTATACCTTGTGATTCAGACTTTTTACATCTTTATATTGTGCAGAGATATTTTGGTGCTGCAATTGGGAAGGGTAGGCAAGCTGCTAAAACGTAAGTAGTGATTTGGTCAGGCTTAACTAATTGTAATTCTTTCATGAGCAATTTTTGGTTGTTGTATGCAATTTCTTATCTACGAGAAGATTTATTTTTTCTGCTTGACAATGTCCATCCTTTTTGTATCAATATGTTTGGGTTTTTTTAGCTGAACTGATCTAAAATTGGCTTAAATGTATTTCTTACGGGTTCTTGGCCGGTTCCAGACAAAATATATTGGTACAATAGGTAGCTGGTCAATATGTTGCTACATTGTTGCTCTGAATTGAAGCATGACATATCAAGTGTAGGGTTTCCTAATGCAAAACTAAAGCACTGTGGTGAAATTTATTTTCAAAAAATGAAATGCAATATTTCGTATCCGATGTAAATAGATGCACGATGAAACTAAGTTCACATGGAAGAAAACTATATAATATGAATAATTATTTATTTTTGTGGTGATAAAAAAAAGGTTTTAAGTTGGTTTGAACGGTGATATAATGATTATGAAAAAATAGAAATTAAGCTTCAAGGTCGGAGATCATATGATAGCATTGCAAAGATTAACATTTCATTCACAGATTCAGTCCAAATATATATATGAGAAATTTGGGGCTCGAAGAACTCAATTTAGATATGTTATGATCTAGTTTGACTTCTTCTAACTAGCCTATAGCTGCTTGGGTTTTTGTGAATGAATTTAACGTGTTTGTAGACATGTTCTTCAACATCAATTTAATTGGAAATAACTACCGAGTCTTTGTAGCATGGGATATATTTTATGTGATTGTTCGATCTTTGTTTATAATGTTATATGATTTAAATATTTTTATGGTAGCTAAAATCATTCTGGATTGTTATTAAAAGTATCTGCAAATATTACTGGTGTCAGAGATACCATCACATGGAGTCTAAGGCTAGAGAACAGAAGAAAATCTGAGAATTTTTAAAATCTGTTTCCATGAAGCCGTTGGAAGGTTTACTCTGGGAACTAATGCATGCATAAAGCATATGCGTAGTAATTAGATATATCAACCAAATCCTTGTCTAAGAAATTCTTCTATACCTTGGTATTCATTCTGAAATTTCGTTTGGTGACCTTTGTTTCTAACTTAAGTCGTATGCTAGTTTTTCAATTTTGAGATTTAATTGCTTGTTTGTGATTCAGACAGGCACATTAAGATAGTTGTATCTTGATGTTTCTGCTCATGTCATCTATGCAGAGAAATTGAGAAGTTGAAGCTTTCTGAACTAACATGCAGGCAAGGTGTCATTGAAGTAGCCAAGATGTAAGTGATCTAGTTATCTTAGACATTTTTTTTTCAAACATATAGGTTCTTTTCATTCGATCATCTCAGAAAGTGACGTGTTTAACCACCGGTTCAATATGTGATTACCATGTCATCATCGTTTGCAAGTTTATTGGTTGTGGTTTTTTTTTTTATTGAACCAAATATTCTAGTCTTTGATAAAGTCTCACTGATGTTATTTTAACTTATTGACTAATGGATCTGATATCAATTTTCTTTCGAATATAACTGGTGCAGGAATACCAGATGTCTATTAAACGATGCATACTTTTGCTATATAGGCAGTTGTTTCATGTCCTCCTAAATGTTTAATCATTTAGATCAAAGAGTCTAGATACTTATAAGTTTAGATAGAGCCATTTGTCTGTGAAGCTAATTACATAGTAATTAGCAAATGTTAGTAACGATGTCAACCCCCAATCATGCACTGTGCTAGTGGTTAGCTCTAGATATTATGACTATGATTACTGTGGAAATTGCTTTATTATCATGCAGTTCATGTATTCATGAATGTAGTATTAAAATTTTCATTCCATGAAGTTCGGTTTATTCTTCTTTTAAATTTAAGATGTCTATTTAAAGCAGCCGTGCTAATGATTTTTCACGATGAGTAATTGATATATTTACACCTATCAATATACTTGCATCGAAGCCAAAGCCAGAGAGAAATGAGCATCCAAACTTTCCTGTTGAAAAATGAATTCCCCGCCTAAAGAGAGAATGCCAATGGTCATTATGGTTTATCTTCTCAACCACTTCCCGTACTTAGATGAGCAAAAGGAGAATGCAAACAAAAATTGCAATGCCAAGAATCATTTTATTCTTAATAGTTAAATGGCTTGCGCCCCAAATGCATGTAGTTAGGAGAAATCAATTGCATGTAGGCATACAACTATGACCTTTAAAAAACATAAGCAAAAGAAAAAAAAAAAGAAAGAGAGCAAAGAAATAGGACGAGCCTAAAACGCATACAATGATCAAATTCGACATAAATGATATAGATTAATTTTTTATATTAAATAACAACACATAAATGTATTGATCAAAGTTAAACTGATGGGTACATCAGATCAGCATGGAAGGTTTATCAGAGACGTGGCCGCAGATCTACGGCCACGATTGAGTCCTTGTATTTCTGAGTCATGATTGTATTTGATTTTATTTATGCATTTTTCTTATTTGCTTAGATGTGTTTTTATTTCCCGTTGTACCCCTTTTATGGGAGTAGTCGCATGTAAGCCCAAAGGGCAAGTTGGTCTTTTATTTTCTTGAGTCTTTGTACCCGGCTATTTATAGCCTCTTTCCCTTTGTTTTGAATTAATGAATGATTATGAGAAAATTTTCCTGCACTTGTGTTTGAGAGCCTTTGAGAGTTCTTGGAGAGTTTTGGAGAGATCCCTTGGAGAGGGAGATTGGCGTATCACCCACCAACCTTGGAGACGGCCGGGTTCGTGGTTTTATCTTCTTTATCTTATCATCACCTCCTCACCGAGCTTCCAAAACCCTCCACCCATCTTCCTCCCCTTCACGGTCAAAGCCCCACACCCGATCCATCATCCACTTCCCAACACCCCACAGCCAAGCATCCCCAATCCCCTTTGCCGCCGGCCACTAATCCCCTAGCCTTTTTTTTTTTATTTTGCTTCCTAATTGGTTTGGGCTTAGTTGGGATCAATTTGAAATTCAAATTCATTTAAATTTGAACTCAAATTGTTTCCTAAATTAACTCTTCTATTTTAGGAAGGTATTTGTTTTGGGTTTAATTTGAAATTCAAATACAAGTGGATTCCAAATAAACCTTTCTTAAATCAAATCCTAATTAAGAAACCTTAATTACCTGCACTAAAATCCTCCTCTGCCATGCATGCCGCCGGCTCCATCAAGACCCCTGTTGGAATTATTTCCAAAAGCCAAGTGACTCCTTTGGAAATAACATAAATCCCCATTACTCCCTCTTTGCTGAAATTTCAAACACCCAGGAACCTCTTTAGTTCTTTCTAAAAACAATTCTCACGGTTTTTGGAGAGAAATTCCCTATCTCCTCTACATTGCCGGCCCAGCTTCTCCATACCCGATTCCCTTCCCCTCACATATCTCCTCTCCACCATTAATCACTCGTGATTCAATTCCATACTCTTGCTCCCTCTAATCCCTTCCTCCCAAACATTGAAAGCTAAATTTCTTCTCAGATTTTTGAGAGGAAATTCAGGAATATTTCAGATTTCTTGAGGAAGAACCTGAACACCATTTCAGGTTTTGGAATCAACACTAGAAAGTAGACCCCCCGACCCATATTCAAGAGACGTATCATATTATGCTTCGACGGGAGCCATGGACGAAGACGTTGGAGACATCAAGTGGAAGATCTCCGTGTCTCATTAAGCAAAGGTTCTCCTTTTCACTTGCATTTTATTTCTTCTAAATCTAAATTCTCATTGGATTGTAGTAATCGCGAAAGTCTCCTCCAAGTGCTCTTGCTAAGCTTAGTCACTCGTAGGAATTGAGAGTACCTTCTATGCATCCTACATCTCGTTGTTAGACTAGGGATTAAATTGAAGGCTACTATTTTGCATTGTTTTACTTGTCTTATTTATTCTGAAAATTTCATCGCTTGGAGCCTGTGATTTAGACTACGCAAGTCACCTCTTTATTTGTTTTAATTGACGTTGAGAATTGCTAATAATTTAATCCAAGATTATTCTAATCAAGGAATTGTGCAATGCTTAAAATGAAGCCCTAAGCATGTCATCTAATTAGTTCTGCATCATAAACACTTAAACTTATGAAATTAGAAGAGTGGAGAATACTATTTTTTGTACTTTCTTCATTGAATAATTTTTTCGGTATAGTTTTCACATTATTTTTTATCACGTTAGTTTGAATCCTTAGAACCTAATATAATTCATAGTGATGCATTTATAAAACAAAACTTCTCATTCAAAAGTACATTAGAAACTCAACAATTTAGAACTAAAGCATTTGCTTATTGTAGCGTGTGAAAATAGAAGGGCAAAATGCATATAGTTGGTTTGATCTATTGTCTTTTTTATCAGAAGGAATCTAATCTCTTTTCATAGAATAAAATTTTCTTTGTGAAATGCTTGTTATATAGTTCTCCTACTCCTTTTTCAAGTATATTTTCAACTTGCATCCAATGGCCATCTTGATCAGCCTTTACCTCCTGAAAGCTTTTGCACCTATCAACCACAATCTTTATCAATAATATTGAACCAATTATTATCAAGCTCATGTGCCATCCTTATTATCTTCATGAGGTGATAATTTGAGTGGATATTGAAGCCTCAATGTTGATGGAAGCAATATGATCTTGAGTCGAGATAGAATGAGGTCAAAATAAGGAAGAAGCCTGGTAGGGAATTATAGACGCAATAAAGTGCCATAGTAATTAATTACAGGATACATAGGTGGGATTACAATAATAAGATTGTTTTTTGGCAGTTTCAAAGAAGATTAAACTCTATATTTAATCACAATTTGAAAGTCAAATCTTGATGAATGTTATAATATTTGATAAAAAAATTATAATCCTATTAATAGGATCCGAGCCTTCTAATACAAATAAGGAAATTACAGAGTCCTTCCCATAGTAATGGAATTCGATTGTTATAAATTGCTAGCCCTGGATCACTGTTTGCTTCATCCTTGGTATCTTTTGCAAGGAAAATCGTTAATAGAATACAAGTCTCGGGACCCTTGAAAATCGTAGATTGCAACAGTGCTAGTTACTTCTTTCACAATTTTTATTGCAATCCTAAATCTTTGTTATGTTCATAATTACTATTGTCTGAACCACAACTTTGCCATCTCGTATGTTGTGTCACTCGTTGCTTTTAACATTATTTTGTTGGAAATTAAGAAACCTAAAGTTAATTCCTTTTGTTTATGTGTTGGGAGAATTGAAACTTCTTGTTTTATACTTGTTTTATTAGGAGGATCCTGAGAAATTTCTTATTTTGGACCATTCTTGTGGCATGTAAAATTCATAAAACCTTAAATATTGCAATATAATTTCAATATTTCTTGGTTGAATGTGCATTCTTTGAGTGATTTGTAGATGTCCGCTACTTCCAAGGGTTTCTTATTGCATTGGCGTGATGTGTAGTTCGTCTGTTGGGTGATTTTTATCGATGTTCTTGCTTTTAATTTGTTTATTTGTTGGTGGATGCACATAATTGAGAATTAGTCATCTGTGAATTTCCTTTTTGTTGTGGAAATTTGATTATTGTTGAATTTTTATACATTCAATATTTTTTCTAGAATTTTAAATTTTGATGACTATTAAATTATTATTTAGAATAAAAGAAGCAACGTAAGATGAGTTTTGATGATAATTATGAGTCTTGAAAGAAGGATATTTTCGGCATTTATTCAACCAAAAACTTATTATATTATGATTGTTTTCTCCTGTTGATTAGCATTTTGTTACATAAGAATGAGTGACAAATTAGATAAGATAACATTAAAAAAATGATAATGAAAACATAGTGAAAATAAAATTCTTATAGTGAAAACTGGATTACCTTTATTGTAATTGATGATAATGAACATTACTTGCATGAGCAGTCCGTCAAATTCCTTGAAAGTCCGTATCCCTTGCACTCAAAAAAATAATTTACTCGAGTGGAAGAAAACACATGAAGAGTAAAAAATTCAAGAAATAATTCTTCATTCAAGAATTAAGTTCTTAATATTACAAGCGACTACTTATTTATGGGAATAAGATGGAGAGATCAAAATACACAGACCTATCTGCAAATTTAAATCTACTACCAAATTTTCATCTATCATCATTATTTCTATTATCAAACCTACTTTCATTATCATATCTACCACTATTATCATGCATACACCACCATTACCAATCCTATTATCTATCCAAATAAAATAAATTTCTTTTATTAGCTATGACAGATGAAAATGAACAATGTAACATCATGATATAAAGCTCATTTAACAACACCCAGTATATATAAGCCGAAAATATAACATAATAACACCAAGATAAAAAAATAGCAGGTACTCAAACACATAAAATAAAACAATGTCATTTCACCCTACATGAAATACTCATACATAGTCACAAGTATAACATAGTGGGTCTTAGATGCATGAATATAAAATCATGAAATGTTAAATTTGCGGGTCCTAGATGCATGAATATAAAATCATGAAATATTAAATTAGCTTCAAGAATCCTGTTTGCTGATTTATATTAAAAATAATGGATTTTTGCTGGATTTAACCCGCAAATTGTTGTTTTATGTGTGTTCATTGTGCATCTCATCCTAACATGTACTAGTAAACTCTCAGGAATTGTCCTCTCTCTCTCTCTCTCTCTCTCTCTCTCTCTCTCTCTTATATATATATTTTGGTCACATAAAACGGCGGCCTTGCGATGACCCGTTTAGGAGAGTAGAGGTATTAGATTTGACTTATGTTAAGAAAGGTAGAGGTAGACCTAAAAAGACTTGGTTAGAAAATATTAGGAATGACCTTTCTTTATTAGATTTAAACGAGAATTTGACTTTTAATAGGACACAATGGAGAGAAAGGATTCGTGTAACCGACCCCACGTAGTGGGATAAAGGCTTGATGTTGTTGTTGTTGTTGTTGTTGTTATATATAATGAATCATATCTAGGCATAATTTTAAAAAACATGTAATATTAAATTGAGTTTTAAGTGGGAAAGTTTTATTGAGATTAACCTAATTATAGCCCAAAGTTCAAGATAAATTTCTTATCAATTATGATATATCTATGGTGGAGTTTTTTAATGTCTAATACATTATTATTTATAATATTAGAAAAGCATTCATTATTAAAAAAACGAATAATTTGTTCAGCACAATTATAACCTAAAATGTAATTATTTTTTTTTTAGTATTTTTCTTCATTTCATGTCGGTATGCTTTTTATATCTGTCAATTTTAGGACACTAATCGATTTGGCTACTAAAAAATTTGATCGATGGACCAAGAGAACACTTAATTCGGCATCTTGGCCTTCATAGATGCTTCTTTATGCATTTTTTTTATGTGTCAAGGATCTTTCTGGTTGCCCAAATCCTTACGCACGTCACATCCATTGTTAGACTATGATCAATGTAGATTGCCATGACAATGAGTTGCCGGAGGCTAAAGATTCGCCCAGCATGAAGCAAACTAACTTTTTTATTCATTCATGCATAGCGTGTTCTTACCTCCTGTTAGTTTGTAATGCTGGTTCAATCCTTCGATGGAATTTTTATTTGGAATGTTTTCATATATCCAGATCAGAATTTTTTATTAATGAAGTATTTTTGTTTCATTTGAAATCTAAACTTTCTGCCATTTATGGTGTTCCATTTATGCAGAATTTATGGTGTTCATGATGAGGCTAAGGATAAAGCCTTCGAATTGGAATTGAGCTGGGTGTGCGAAGAATCAAACAGGCAGCACCAAAAGGTAATATTTGAATACGGTGAGATCTTTCAGTTGCTATTAAGTTCGAAGAAAATAAATACTCTATACAAGGTCTTTGCAATTGATAAAATAACTGGGCCCTTAAAGGCGTCAACCTATTAATTGTCCTCTAATGTGTCCAGTTCAGAGTGCCCCATTGGTTGGTATAATTTTCTTAAACAGTCTACTAATCTCCACTGAAGCCATCATTAGATTAGAAAAGGTCACATAGCAGAAAATGAAAGATGAGAATTAAGAAGAAGCAAAAGGAAGCAAGTAAGAGAGAAAAGGCGGGGTTTTTATAACGTTTTGATGGTGATTTGTGAGGCATTGAGAGCCTTTTGCTGGCACGTCGTTGAATGCTAAGCACCAATTTCTTCAACCTTTACCCCATTGTTACTTCACGTTGCCTTCTCTGCCCAAAATATCATCATCAAAATGCTTTACTTTGACATCACCCTAAATCACCCCTCGTCAACAGTAGTGGTCATCCTCCTTCCCCTCCTCTATTGTTGGGGGAGAAATTTGGTAATCCACAAGAACATTAGGATATCTTCCACAGCAGGGCATTTTTGGTAGAATGTTATTGTTTTAGAGGGAAAGGTCATTCATGCTTGATTTAGGATGAAAATGCTTTTTTTTTTTTTTGTTGTCTTAAAAGTAACACTTTGATCATAAGTGTATGAGAACCATTAGCATACTTTTAAACCACATGGAGATTATGTGCTCATAATGATATACTCATTTTGGAAGAAAAATTCTATACCACTTTGTTTAGATTTATTGGCCTATATATATTAATAGTTTAATAGTTAAATTAATGTTGATGTTTTTCATTCTTGAGTAGTATTTTTAGGATGTTGTCTTCTTTATCCTCACTCCAATTCTTTTAGTTTAATGTATATTTTTAGACTATCTTTGTAATATTTCTAGGAAAGTAAGCAAACTAGTACACTCAAAGAATAGCTAGATACTCACTCATATAAGGCACTTTTATGTTACTTAAGTAATTGAAGAAAACTTTAGAAGCTCAACTTATGAATGAACTAGTTGGAAAATTGATTTTTTAAATCTATTTATAAATCATGAGCATCAAACCTGTAATTAGATTAGCTTGATTAAAGCTCAATTATAATTTAAGCTTGTTAATAAAATTAATATACAAGCTTGCGCTCGATTATAAATGGATCATGTTCAAGCTTAGCTTGAAATTAGTAAGGAAATAAATAAACGAGCTTGAACGAGAAGGCACTCGGCTCTTGGAGTGTAAGTGAGGTGAGTTGATTTATGTGCCAGCTCAAACTCGACTCGTTAGAGAGCTGGTAAGTTGAGTTTATCAATCCGCAGACTCAAACTCATATTAGATCTTGTGTATTATATAAGCTCCGAGGCTTCGGCTACTCATTATTGTTGGCTCACTAGTTGACTTGTAAATCATAAATTCCTTTTATTTCTTAATCTTTCATTGATCCTATCGATGCCGCCTCCTGTGAGTTTCCACTTCACTAACTCTTCTTCTTCAAGCGGTAGTCCATTCCTTCTCCAACGATCTCATTGATCCCGTCCCTGCTCTTGCAACTTCTTCAGCGTCTCACATTCAATGCCTTCTGCGATAATCCAATGGCTCATAAAATCCTAAATTCTTTTTGAGACTTCTTGCCGGTGATGCATTCTATGACGAGTTCCCGTCAAAACTTCTCTGGTGAGTTCTCATCATGATCTAACACTTCTGCTGGTCTTGACGTTGCATTCTCTGCTGATTTTCCATCAACCACTTCTCCTGCCCCCCAGTCATGCTCAAGTCCGCAGTTATTCTGAGAAGCCAAGCTTCAGCTCTCCGTATGAGCTCAACTTGATTTCAACACCACTAATTTACATCTCTAACTCACGAGAGATTATTTTGTACAGACACCGGACGGTAGAACCGTCCAGTACCGCTTGGTACCGAGCGTAGTACCGACGCTTGGTACAGCTCGGTACCGAGCGCGGTACACTTTTGGGGTGGTGTGGCACTTTTTTATTGGTCTCTGGACGACATCTGGACTCCGCATAGAATAATTTGTCGTAACTCACAAAGCTTTACTTGTTTAAACCACTCCCAGACTCTAATCTGCTCAATTACAGCCCTATATATTTTTAGCACCGAATGCTTGTTAGGTCGGTCTTGTGTATTTAGTTCTTAGGAAGAGTAGATCTAATATTATTGCACTTGCAGGTGCCAGAGGATCTCGTGGAGGCAGCCAAAGCAGCTGCCCAGGCTGCACTGGAAGAGATGGATGCGGATTAAGGACTAAAAACTGACTTCCCTTCGATTGATGGACTGAGATTCAACAATTTGGATTTTTTTTTCTCCTTGATTTAGCTTTATTTTAATTAGACTGTTATAGATGCTTATTTACATCTGCTTGTTGGATTTACTTTTCTGGCATTCACTTAGAAAAAAAAAAAATATATACTTCTATGTATGAAAGATTTGAAATGCTTCAAATTCAAAGTAAATTGAATTGTTTTTAAGCTTATCTTAATATAATTTATGTCATTATATCATGAATTGCTTTGTTTTCTATTCAATTGAAGGCTATTTTGTGTGCCTACAAGCCTCCTATGGTGTCTTCTATTTTCATTAGATTTATTTTAAAATACATTTGCTGATTACAAAATTAATTATGATTAGTTTTTGATGGGATGTTCTTACTAAAATTTTCTGTAAAAACAAAAATATTTGTGGTTAGACAATGCATCTTATATCTTTGTCAAATGAAATTTATAGCTCAGAGGCTAAATTGACACAATTTGTAAAAATTAAAAATGAAGATAAATATTTGCAACTTTGTATGCATTATTTATATATTGGCAATGGAGGCAATAATGGCAATCTAAATTTTAAAATTTTCTCATTCTTATTTAAATTTCTGCTATATTTGTTTTTTTTTTTTCCTTTTTTATTTTGAAAGGTTTGATCTTTTCCCTTGCAGAAAAACAGGTTATTCAGCTGGAAATAGAAAGCTCTCTCTTTCAAATGAGACTAAAGAATATATAATTATATTTAAATTTAAAAAGAATAATTCACCTATGTTTTTTTAAAAATTCAATCAAAGTTATTTAATCAAGTGTCAAATATAGCCTTCTTTTCTTCCATTAAAAAAAAAAAAGAATGAATTTCTTATAACTATTACGCTAACAAATTTTATTATTTCTACAAAGCTCAGCAAAATTTTGAAAAATAATGATAAAGTTGGGGCATTGATGTGTGGCTCACACCACAACTACAGCCTTTATATATGAACACCTTCAATTTAAACATAAGTAAATGAAAGGAAAGAACAGATATAATACCCTTAAAGTACTCAGAAATATAATATATAACTTTGACAGTAGTTCACATTAGAATTTGAAGAGATTATTACGTACAGAGACTGGACACAAAAAACTGTTCGGTTTTATTCCTGAGAACAGTAAAAACACAGTTATTGTTCATCACCGCACTTTTACTGTTCAATACTGCGCTCTTACTGTTCACAGAGGCAGAATCGAACAATTCTATGTCCGATCTCCACATATAATAATCTCTCTAGAATTATAATGAGGTCTTGACTATGGATAATTTATCATAAACAAGAGACTGAACATCAGACAAAGAAAGTTCACACGAGAATGGATAGGCCTTCCTTTCTGGGAGGAACCTTGTTTCCAGGAAAAGATTTGCGAGAGATCTCTACAAGAGCCTTGAAACTGTATGGCTCATGCATGGAGAGTTCAGAAAGCACTTTCCTATTAAGCTGGATATTCTCCTTCATCAATCCATGCATAAAATTACCATAATTTACCTGTGAGCATCAAAAAATTCAGAGACTTAACAAAATTTGTATCCTAACATAGCATAATCAAAGCATATTAGACATATTTTTGGTGATTGACCTTATCTGCATATCAATTCCATTCCATCAAAGTTCCACAAGTGGTTCACAAGTCCTTAATTCTGAATATATTTGGTTCACACCATGATTCTTTTTTGGAGCCATAGCTCTAAGGGAGCTTTTGGCATTCATTTTTTTGGCTAGCCTAATTTCCTCCTCTATGAGTTCTCTTATGAGTTAACTATAGTACAAAATTCATGATACTTATCTAGCAAGGATGTATGAAGTAGTAAATGTTTTCCTGCAAATTCAATCGTATAATTATGCACAAATTGCTCATCTTTAATTTTGTTATCTTCTTGATAGTTGATATGGTAAAATTGGATTGTAAATGGGCCTTTCAACTACAAGTCAAGCTATGAGTTCCAATAACATTTTGAATGGGCAAAGGCAATCCTTTGCTCATGGCTATATCTATAAAAAGAAAAGTATGTTTCTAACATCTCCATCCATATTTGTCTTCTTCGCATTAATTATACCGTTATAAGTTGGTAGCGCCAACTTGGAAGCCACCTTAAAGAGAGGTGGTTGCCCTTATTGGCTATGATCATCAACTTTTCAATAAATGCTACATCCCAATCACCCTTATCATACTACTCAAGAAACATAGAAGTTTTACCAAAATAAGCGGTAGCAAATTCTTTCTATTTTTGAGGAACAAGTATCTATTAGCTATCTTTTCGATGGTCATCACTCAAAGAAATTGGTCACCATACTCTCTAATTTATCAAATCCACTTTCAACCTTTTTTGGCTCAATAGCTTCTCATTATAGTATTATTGACTAATTAGCCTCATCAAGGTTTTCAATAATAGTTGTAGTTTGAACCATTAAAAATGAAAATTTTCTCTAGCTTTCCTACAAATCACAAGCATGTGTTTTGATATCAATTTATGATACAGATCTACAAAGGGAGATTGATACGTAGTCTCTCAACAGAAGGATGTAGGGGTGTCAAAATGAGTTTTCGAGTTGGGTTCAGATCCAACCCAAAACTGACCAACCTTCAACTGCTCCAGCCCAAATCCGACCTAATTAGACAAACGGGTCAAAAATTCAGGCCTAGACCTAACCCACTCTAACCCTAATTGACCCAAAATGACCCGCTAACCCGCGGGGGTGAGGTTGAGAGCGCGAGGAGGGGGATTCCACGGCACGGTGCAAGACTGGGACTTGGGTTAGTTTCAGGTTGCTTTCAGCTTAACCCAAAACTGACCCAAAATTAGAAACGGGTTAGAACATGAAACCCGATCCCAACCCATTTTCTAAACGACATGACCTAAACCTGGAATTTTTGGATAGGGTTCGGGTCGGTTTTTCGGGACGTGCCAAAAATTGACACCCTGAAATGGATGTTGGCCTCTCTTTTTCCCCCTGAGGTATCCCAATATAAACCTTGTATTTTGGCACTCATACCATATTGGCTCACTCTAGGTCCCCCTCCCCTATCAAGCATTACAATTGCCTTAGATTAGATCATGAGTCCTTTTAGATGACCTCTTTATCACATTAAGTCTCAAAGTGACATACAGGAGTATTCTCAAACCATGGCAAAAAACCAAACCTTAGCTAGTAAATGAACAGTGGAGAAATTCCTCTTATTCAAATGAGTAATTCTTCAAATATAATGGATGAATAAGTTCCTTTCATTTAAGTGAGTGAGTCTCCCTGTTCTCCTGTAATTTTTCCCCAATATAATCTTTCTTCCTACTTCTTTTCAATCATGCCTTGATTTTTATTGAGGTAAATCGAACAAGCACCAACAAGCCATTAAATTAAGCAATTTTCCATTAAATTACAAGTAAATGAAAACACGGAAAAAAGATTCCACTTTTCGCAGTAAAATTGAAAGCTTACCCCATGTAAACGAGTACCAGCGTTGATGCGCTCAATCCACAGAGAGCGCATGTCCCTCTTCTTGTTCCGTCGATCCCTATAAGAGTATTGCAGGGCCTTCTCCACCCTCTCCCTTGCTATCCTAATACAGTTCTTTGCCCTACCCCGGAAACCCTTCGCTAACTTGAATATCTTGTCCTTGTTCATCTTCTTCCTGGATCCTGCTATTTCTCGAAAATTCCAACTTGAACCTCCTGTTCTCTAATCAAGTCAGCTTCAAAAACACATCGACAATGTGTATTTATGTATAAATATGTAAAGAAAGGAGAGAATCCACAAACAAAGCCGCAGCCTTCCCTGCTTTAGCCTCCGTCCGCCACCGCAGCCGCCGCGATCTTCTCTGCTAGGGCAGCTAGTGTGCGAAGATTGAAGGCTGAAGGAAATTAAAAAGGATAATTTTTAGAAGTGAGCACTTAAATAAATTTTATTATAAATGTGGGCATAAATGAGCAAAATTTGGATTTTTAGAAATCGGAAAAAAGAATTCTATTTATTTATTTATTTTAAATATTTTTTAATATGAGTTAATGGATTCAAAAGAAACTGGCCGGAATTTCGATTTCCATTTTCTAATTTAATAATAATAACTTTAATGACTAATTACTTGATCATGAAGTAATAACAAAATATTGACACTAGCAAATACTTCAATAAGTTCTTGTCAAGTTGCACACATTAGCTTGTGACCCCTCAATAACATTATAATATCAGGAATACCCCATCAATAGAAATTTATCGATGGGTTATCATCTCGTCCTTCAGACAGAGAATGTTGCTCGTATATTTCTCGATAGAGATAGGCTGCATACACTTGCACTTTGACAACATACGTGATAAGAAAACATCTCATATGCCATTATTCATGAAACTTACTTTGGATGAAAACTTCTCATTATCAATAAAATTTTCACATATGCTAATAAATTGAGTTGATGATATCATGTCACCAATTACCCTTGATGTAGTTAATCCATATTGTTATACTTACAATGATTATCTTTGAAGTTATCCGTGATGGCATTTCTTTTATATTAATCTCAAATTCATCTTTGTGGTTATTAGCTTGGGATAATTTCTTAACTTTTTATTTTTTCATCCTTCTCTCCAAAGAGAAGAGACGGCCTCAGCTCATTCATTGGAGGTCTCAACAACTTTGTAAGAGTATATTATTAGTAATGAGATGCAATAATGGGTGTCAATCCGGGTCGACGGGTCTGGTTCGGGTCGAACCTGAGTTGACCCAGTTCTAAACGGGTCAACCCGAACCTGACCCGTTTTTGTAAACATGTCGGTTATCTCAACCCGTACCCGACTCGTGCGGGTTGTCGAGTTGACACGACCCGACCTGGTTATTTAAAATGGAAGCAGTCGCCGTCAGCGGCAGCAGGCGCGCAGCGGCGGACCAGGCGGCACCGCGGTAAGCGACCAGTCGGCACTCGGCACGCGAGCGCCGAAGCCGAAGTTGGCTCTACTCCTCTGCCACATTGGCACACGAACCGCGAAGGCGCGACTTGATGCGTTGGGCAACCGGGCAGTCGGGCAGGGACGTGACTTGCGTGTCGGGCAACCGGGCAGTCGACGCGGGCAGCCGGGCAGGGACCATTTTTGGGTCATTTTCGGATCGTTTTCAGGTTCCTATGTCAACTCGAACCTGACCTCTTGGGTCAACTCGAACCCAACCCGATTTTTGAAACGGGTCAGTTTACTTAACCCGAACCCGACCCGTTTCATAAACGGGTTGACTCGAACCCGAATTTTTTCCGGGTCTAGTTTCGGGTTGGGTCAATAATTGACACCCCTAGATGCAATTCACATTGTGTAGAAATGTATGTCAACCAATGTCTTTGGAAACAACATGCATGTATTGGGAATTCCAATTTCTAAATATTTTAACACTTATGACATCATGGGAGTCACAAACAAGAGCCTTTGTCAATGTTTTGGCTCTCTTTATATACATACCTAGTTACCAAATCATATATATTACTTATAATAAAGGATAAACCCTCCACCAAGAGAAGGGTATTGCTTGGGAATAATCATAATAACTCTTCAATAAGTAATAAACAATCAATTGGACAAGGATTCTCATATAATTCTTCATCAAAAGTGGTAGAATAATGAAGGAAAACATGACCAATTGGTCAAGTGAGCAAATTCTTGTGATGAAGTTCATCCAAGTGATCGATATCATGTGAATTTAAAACCAATAATAAAAAAAAATCAAAAAATAAATTCATGTTGCCTATTATAATAGGTTAGAGGAAATTTTACTTGAAGACATTGTCTATATTCCAAATTTTAGAACAAATGACTAAATGGCATGCTTTAAAAGGATAACTTTTCATATTAACAAAGAAACTTGATTTATATAGGTGCTCCAAGTGTGCATTCTTATATAATTATCATGTGGAGCTTTGATGTACCCCCACACACATAATATGGGGGTTTAAGGGTTTGATGTATGACATGTTTTGATGTAGGGCATGTAATTGAAGATTGATATTCTTAAATTGCATGTAAATAGGCTTTTAAAAAATATCTTAGTATATTTTCTCTATATCTCACCTACACACACACTCATATACACTCTTTCTTTATTTGAACAACTAGTATGGATCATTTCTCAAGAAGGTCAATCACCTCAGCTCAATTTAATGAAGGCTCATCACCTCGATCCTCTTGAATGGTTCCATCAATTATTATATAACAATTTGGGATATAATATTTAGTGCATGTCTTGTTTATATTAGTTAATATTTCATACATGAAAGACTTAAAAGTTTATCTTAATCTAAAAAATCAATTATTATGATAAAGATAAGATGATTAATGAACTTTGCTTATTAAAGAGCTTGGGACCTCTTATGTGGTGACTGGTGACACATAAATTTTCAAGGGGATTTGGCATAGAAAAGTTTCTATCTTTTGTAAGATGATCCCAACATCTCAAGCAATATAGGGAAGCACTTGTAAAATAAACTTATCATTGCCTATAAGGTCTACACTTATGTGCAAGAGAGGACAGAGTCATATAATAACATAGCCGATGAAGAAAATGCAATCTCATATATCATTCAATGAGCTTTGTTACAATTTATAGGAAAATATAAGAATATGCTTAAGTCTGTGACTTAAGTAACACCTCCTCTCCAAAGCATTTCTTTTTCTTGAGCTTACTTAGTGAATCTTATTACAGCTATATTCAATCAAGGTTGGTCAAGGTTCAAACCATTGAAGCATTGTCAAATTTTTCATTCAAATATTTTTTGAACATTATTTGAGCCTTGTTCAAACCTTGTTAAATCTTATTTTTGCTACCTTTGAACCACCTATAAACCTTAATTAAACCTTAATCAAACCTTCTTCAAATAATTTTTATACCTTATTTATTGCAACATTTGAAGAAGATTCTACCATGTTTTTAGTATGTAATGTGATGTTTAATATTATTATGGATTTAGAGGTTTGATTGCAAATGATATTTTCATACTTAAATAACTAAACATATAAAATCATTAACATTGAACATATAGTTGGAGACTGAGACAAAAAACTTTTGTCACAAATCAATCACAAGAGTTTGATGATCGTTATAGACGGAGAAAGTGTAACAACCCAAGGTTCTTAAATGAATTTATTTGAAAAGTCTAAAATTCCTGAACTATGGCACTACGGGGTTGGTATTTTGAGTGTCACTACTTTTGGGCACCAGAATTTGACATGGCGGCACTAATGTTCTCTGTTTTACAATAACTATAGAATGAGCATGCAGAGCTGCGATGTCAGGTTGGAGCTTCGCGGCATTAAGTTGCGACGTTTGACACTGAAGAATATTATTTAGCATAAATTTTCTCTTCACTCAATCATTTTCATCCCTCTCTCATTTGGCTTGCTAAGAAACGAAGGAAAGAAGGAATGGAATGGAAGGATAGAGGTAGATTCATTTCACTGATTCTACGAAAATTATTCTGATCATCATAGGTGACTTTATAATATTTTTATTTTAAAATTTTGATTCCGAAATTCATTCCTATATCTAAATCATTATTATTCCATTTTCTCCTATTTTAGAGAACGTTTATCGCATAACTTGTAGATATTGTATTACTGATTTTTTTGAGCATTTTGACTATATAATTTTGTATTTTCACCTATTGAAATGTTAGAATGGTGGGCATTTTGATATGATCATATTGTTAATACAAGTATTGTGAATGAATACGAATATGTGAATGAGTGATAGTCAGTTGTTATTATTTTTACAATATTATGTGTGCAAAAACAAGAAAGGTTGTTTTATTACTAAGATTAGTTGAAGACTATTTTATACATGTACATGATGGTGTGTTAACGAGCTTTTCTTTAAATACCATGAATAGTGGTGATATCCTCTACTAATTCATATGATTTGCCAATTGAGAGTTATAAGAAGAACATACTATGCTAATGGGAAAGAGTGATGACTCGGATTATTGAAAATCAACTAAATACTGAACTAAAAATACATACTGGAAAAATACCTGACAATATAAAATTTATTATTTATTTTTTTATTATATTTTTATTTTTTATTTTTTTATTATTACTTGTTTAATATGAATATTTGAACATATATTATTGCGGGCTAGAATATACGCGGCGATAGAGTTAGAATCCTACGTCTTTGCATTGTACGAATATCCAGCTCACACACAAAGAACACATGTTTTTTACGTGAAAAGCCCTGGAAAAAGGGAAAAAAACACAAGGCTTAACCCAGTTGAAAATGATTTCACTAGAACTTGAGTTGGTTACAATGGGCTGACTCGCCTCCAATAGCGATCAGATTACAAGTAACAACTGTACGATAGAAGTCAGTGTGTCAGGTGATGGTCCGGCAGAACTTCGGGCTTTAGGTGGTGGTTTGACAGAACTCCGGGCCTTAGGTAGTGTTCCGGTGAATGTGAGGGCCTCAGGTGGAGGTCCAGTGAAGGCGAGAATCTCATGTGGTGGTCCAGCAAAGGCGAGGGCCTCAGGTGGTGGTCCGGCGAATGCGAGAGCCTCAAGTGGTGGTCCGTCGAATGCGAGGGCCTCATGTGGTGGTCCGGCGAAACTCCGACGATGGTCCGGCGAAACTTTGGTGGCGGTCCGGTGAAACTCTAGCTGTGGTCAAGGAACAGCTTCTTCCTTCTCTTCATTCTCTTCTTGCTTGGATCATTTTTCAAGAGAAATGAGGTGGAAATACGCATAAAAAGTATCTTGATCGGGCACAAATCTCGATGCAAAATCAATTTGGAAACTTCCAAAATTAAAATTGGGACCATTTGAACTTCGATTTCAGAAAACTTATAGTCAAACTGAATGTCTTGGAAATACGAAGCCAACGACACCAAATTCAACTCAATCTGAGCCCAAATGAGTCCAAATCAAGGACCCTGAAGCGCTGTTGGAAGGTTTGAACCACAATTTGGGTTAGAAAACGGTTTCCAAACATGACGTGCTTATAGTCGAATCGAGCGCCTCAACGAGACGAATCCAACGAGCCTAAGATCGCAAAATTCTAACATTATTAAGATCTTCAAATGTTTGATAAACAGTATATGATCAAGGGATTCAATATCGGCCGTCCATCCAACCACTCCCCATTTACCCTTGATCTCTCACCTATTTACGGGGCATGCCATTCCAGATATCTATAAATAGGCCCCTCATTCCTCTTGAAAAGGGGAGCCGAAGCAAGAAGAGAAGAAGGAAAAAGAGAAGGAAGAGAAGGAAGAAGCTCCTCGACCACCGTCGGACTTCCACTGGACCACCGCCTGACATCGTTGCTCTCCCGGACCACCACCTGAGGCCCTGAACTCCACCGGACCACCACCTGAGGCCATGAGCTCTGCCATACCACCACTTCAGACCCTCACCTTCGTCGGACCACCACTTGACGTCATTGCTCTATCAGACCACCACCTAAGGCCCTGAGCTCCTCCGGACCATCACGTGAGGCCCTCACCTCCGCCGGACCACCGCCTGACGTCGTTGCTCTGCCGGACCACCACATGAGGCCCAAACTTCTATTGGACCACCACCTGATGCCCGGACTTTTGTCGGACGACTACCTGATGCCCGAGTTTTTGCCGAACCACCACATGAGGCCCGGACTTTCAATTGATCACCACTTGACGCCCGGACTTATGCCAGACCACCATCTGATGCCCAGACTTCTACTAAATCATCACCTGAGGCCCGGACTTCTGTCAAGCTACCACATGATGCCTAGAGTTCTCCTGGAATACCGTCCTTCTACTAAGTTTTTTCGGACCCCATGTCTCCTACTAACTATGGTCATTCCGACCTCCATTACCAGACAACGGTCTTTCTGACCTCTATCCTATCGATTATGGTCGTGCTGACCAAACAAACATATCTATATTGTAACTTCCATCATGTAATGCGCTCAATATGATGTATATTTGTACCATCAAGCCAAGGTCTTCTCCCAAGGAAGGACCTCATTTGTAATCGACTGCAAATACTAGTGGATTCATTAAAACTAGGTCATGCCCCGTGGTTTTTCCCCATTTTTAGGAGTTTCACATAAAAAACTTTAGTGTCTCTTATGAACCCTACACTCTCTCTCTTATCTGATTGTGTGCTAGATCTTCGTATAACGCTAAGACGTTAAACTATATATTTCTCTACCGCCACGAATACTCCATTACGCAACACTTCTTAAAAATAATTTTCTCCAACAAATCACCATGCCAAAAATCCCTTTAAAAATCACAATCATAAAAAAAATACTTTTTTTATAATTATGTAAAATATTAATATTAATGTCGTAGATTTATAAATCATTAAAATAATATATATTTTTAAAAAATTTGGTTAAAGCTCTTAAGAAAAAAACAAAAAACCATAAGCGAGGGCGTCCCGACGCAAATTTGTGCTTTTTCAAGCGACCGACACCACGTGTCAAATAGCTGTGACTAAATATTATTTCCCACTATTAACGCGCGGGCATCTCATCCTGAAACTCGCAATAGGGATTCGGCGGCGATCCGCTGACGACGGAGAATAGATCCCCGACCTCCGGTCTTCCCACTTTCCCTCCGCCCATCTTCTTCTCTCACCATCCCTCTGTTTCTTTGTTCGACGCCGCCGTACACGCGAATGTCTCCACTGCGATGATGGCGGCCTGCGAGACCGTGCGAGGATTTTGGGATCGGCTCTTGGGCCGATGCTTCCGGAACTTCCCTTGCCTCTCCGATCGCGGTTCGCCTGATTTCTTCCTTGCATCTTTCATTTTTCGGGTATTTATCTAACCTAGGCTTGGGATTCCAGCGAGGAGATCGTCGCTTGGTTTGAAGGCAGTGCTTGTGCTCCTTCACGTGGTCTTCGTAGGCGTCCTTTATCTATTGGATACTGATTTGATACGGAAGACTCGTGAGATGCCCTGGTACTCTTTGCCCTTTCCTTGAGTGTGCTTTACATTTTCCTTTTCCTGCCCCCTTTTACTTCTTTGTTGCTTTGAATCCACTGTTGTTCTCTCTTCTTTCCTTTTTGCACGCGGAGGAAGCTCTGATTTTATACCAAGATAATGCATACCCCAATTCATTTCTTTCACTGTTCATGACTATTTAAATTTTGATTGGAGGTCGTGAAGAACTCCTTCGTTCTTGTATCCTTACAGCTCAGCAATTGATATTTTTTTCAGTAGTTTAGAATGAACAATAGGTGCGATTGAAACTCCTACGGGCCTCTTGGTGCGGTTATAGATGCTGTAGCCTCCTAGATTTGAAGTATTGCTGCTTTAAAGGTTACTATCCTGCGATTGAGCTCTTTTATGTCACAAATTTAGAATTTATAGCTTATTTTGGAATATCTGCCTTGTGTTCTTATGGGATGATAGTAGTACCAAGTGATAAGTGATGGTATATCATTCAAAAGTTATATACATGTATGATATTTTCTATGGAGTTCGAGGGATTTGGATCTTCTCCAATTATCATACCAACTGCTCAACTTGCAATTAGTAATATTGGACAGTTAATGCATTTCATATTGCCAGGATTGAATCTTGAAAGCTACTTCAAAATTATAATGGTTTTGAGGCAGTTTTCTAGAATCAATCATGGACATCCAAAATGTACAGAATGTCTGGGATTTTGTAATTGCACATTTTACAATTGCTGTCTAACGGGAGAGAATCTGAATCTGAGTTAAAGTGATTGTAGTTTGTGTTGTGGATGCTATTTTATATGTTGTAGAATTTGAAAGAACGTCTAATATTGATTATTGAGCTTGTTCAAACTAAGGTTGGTCTGCAGGATTTGAAACTCTTGCGAGCAATATTAAAGTTTCATATAAATTGTATTGTTTGAAGTATACAAAAGCGTGCTTCTTGAAGCAAATGCAGTTAGGAGTTCTTCCTTTAAAGTTTAAACTAGACCATTAATGAATAGATTCATGCACCTTAGTGGCATGTCCTATTTTTGTTTCTTAATTTTAATATTATGATTATCTGGTCATAGGTCTATTATTTTTGTTGAATCATTCAGTTTTTTTCTATTATCTTTTAATACTTTGTGTGCCTGCGGCACTCTATTTTTGAAATTTCTATGGTGCTGATATTGAAGGCTTTTAATTGTTCTCTTCTCTTCATATAGTGTAGTTTTGTTGTTGTTGTCTAATTTAGGGTTAGAGCTAATTTTGTTTAGAAATTGGAATTTGATAAATTTGCGCGAATTATGCGTTTCATGTTTCAGTTTTGATGATTTTGATTTGCTATTCTGATCCATCTTCTCCACCCCTACCCTTTTTGTATTTTATTTGCACTCTTTTTTCATGTTCCTACCTCAATACCTCTTTGTTCTTGTATCTATCATTTTGCTTGCTTCAGCATAATAGGTTTCTTTATGTTAATGTGCACCTTATTTGTCTTTGTAAATAGGCCATGCAATTGATTTTTGAGTAATAATCATATCATTGAAATTTCTTCATCGTTTCTATACACATATAATTATATGTTATGTACATTATAAAATTGCGTGCTTGACTTAATTGAACTCAACTATGTTTTGTATTTTTCCCCTTGAAGATAAATACAAAAAGTCCTGTACTTTTTTTTTTTGCATTATGTTTCAAAACAATTCACATAACCAGTGTTTTAATTAGAATCTAATAAGGTACTTCTTCAAAATCTTCCATATCCTTCTGCAATCTCATATTTGATTGCCACCATTGAGTTGGATCTGAATTGACTGCTACCAGTTTGAGCTCTTGTCTTCTTTCTTACATGTGCATCTTCATTGCATTTAATGTTGCCCATGTTAGACTTTAGAGCAGATTGTAACACTGTTGCTTTTATGGAATGAAGTTATAATGATGCAAAGCTTGGAAGAGCAGAACACAATAAGGTGCATGACGCATTATCACCCCTACGTTATCTATTAATATAGTAGTACTATTTTTGTTATTATAGTACATTCCTACCTTTATGTTTATTATCACAGTAATAGCATTATCTAATATAATAGTAAATAGAAATATATATAAAGGGGGAAGAAGGGAACACAATATCATTTGAAGATGCCAAATTCCAAAATACTGTTTTACAGAAACATTTCTTGTTGCTTTTCATTATGCTATTGTCATTCCAGCGATTACATTAGGTTGGTATTAGAGCCTATTTCTTGGATTCATGGTAGATCGTGGCAAGGAACCGGCTATCGACAATGATCGGAGCCTTCAAATTTTGTGAGAAAAACAGGAAACCTTGTTTGGAAGTTCGAAGAACTGTTTGTGGATTTCAGGCGCTTCTCCATCAAAATTTGTCGTGACCTTCATTTAAAACAGGTGAGGAATCCACCTCATCCCACTCACCGAGCGACTGCACCGACAACCATACCGGGCATCCGCAGAGAAATGTCCGTCAACCGAATTGTGCATAGAGAACAATTGCAGAATATTGCAAGTTCGGACTCCGAAGATAATACTCGGCAATTTCGTGAGGTGGGAATGTTTGAATCGGATGAAGAGGATGAGTATAGTGGAACACATCGGAGATGTTTCTGTCATTGTCTTCCTGAGCATCACCAATAACACTTCATAGAATTTAAAGTTAAGTTAGATGTTCCATTTTTCGATAGGCACTTACATATAGAATATTACTTGGACTAGGAAAAACTGTTGAGAACTTCAAATACATGGAGATCGATACTGATAAATAAGTGAAATGTGTTACTTGTAGGCTGAAGGGTGGTGCAAGTGCTTGGTGGGCACAACTTTTGCATTCAAGACAATGAGAAGGAAAGGGTCGTGTGTGCAGCTGGCAGAGGATGAATCAATTACTAAGAGCACAATTCTTACATACAGATTTTGAGCAAATTTTATATATGATGTACCAACATTGTATACAAGGCAATTGATCCGTAAGCGAGGACACTAAAGAATTCCATAGGTTGAGTGCGAGAAACAACCTTAATGAGACTCCCAATCAACTGGTCGCTTGCTACATTGGTAGTCTCAAGGATAGTATACAAGACAAATTGGAGTTGAACTCAGTTTGGTCGTTATCCCAGGCTATCAACTTGGCATTAAAGGCGGAGATGCAACAACAGAGACAATTCAAGAATACTTACAATCGGCGGCATTTTCAGGAACACTCGACAACAACCCCTAAACACAATCCACCTATTGGCAAGACACCCAATACGACAAGCCAATCGAGCCCAGTTGTTCCTTCTGGTAGCCAAACTAATCCTGACGGCAAGTTTTAGACCAAGCCAATGCCGACAGCCAAGGAGAACCTGTATGCAAGGCCATCTAACTCAAATGTTTTCGTTGCTTCTAGCTTGGCCACAAGTCCAATGAATGTCCACAATGACCACAATCCCATCATATGGAGATGGAAGAGGGCGGAGATACAATTAATCAAGAATTAAAAGGAGAGGAAGAGACTGAGGATCCCACTAATTTGTGTCATGGAGAAGGTTCTAGTTCCCTCTCGATAGACATCTAATTCTCAACACAATGCTATCTTCTGGACGTGTTGTACCATGATTACCATCAATGGAAAGGTCTGTGAACTTCTCATTGACAATAGATGCATTGAGAATGTGATCTCCTGTTCAGTTGTTCAAAGCTTCAACTCAAGATGATCAAAAACCCGCACACCTATAAAAATAAGTTGGGTAAAAATAGGGATGGAGATTGTAGTTACTAAAATGTGCCTAATAACCTCTCTATATGCAAGAAATACATATGTGATGTCTTATGTGACATCTTGGACATGGATGTTTGCCACCTCATTTTGGGCAGGCCATGACAATTCGATGTATGCGCAAGTTATGACTGTAGAGCTAATGTTTATTACTTCGACTGGGAAGGGCGTCGACTGCGATTGCTACCTAGTTCAAATGAGCCTAAGCCCCAAACAACTTAACATTACATGCTTAGTAGTAATGCATATAGTTTTTGGGACCACATTACTACATTGTTGGTGAGCGCCTGTTCCTCGATTTTCCCTATTTGTTGTCAAACAGAACAATCAATGTACTCAAAAGAAGGTTGATGAAGAAATACAACTTCTCATAGATCATTTCAGAGATACTTTGCTAAATGAGCTACCTGCCAAGTTTCCATCCCTACAAGACATACAACATCAGAAATATTTCACACCGGGAGCAATACTGATTAAGTCTGCAAGAACATAAAAATTTGCAGCAAATCATTGACGATCTATTGTCCAAGAAGCTTATGCAGACCAGCCTTAGTCCGTGTGTCATTCTTGCATTGGTTGTTCCAAAAAAAAGACGGGACATGGTGTATGTGCGTGGATAATAAAGTTGATCAAGGATTATGATTTGACTATTCATAATCAGCCTGGTAAGGCTAATGTGGTGGCATACGCTTTGAGCAGGGAGTTTTCTGGATTATCATGTATGCAGCTCACTTCTGATGAGTATTTGATACGAGATATGGAGAGATTGTAGTTAGAGGTGATTTTTTTCTTCTGATTGAGATTATGGTATAGTGACTTAGATGATCATTCAACCTTTTTTAGAAGAAAAGATTCATGAAGCTCAAAAATTAGATGCAGAATATCCGAAGTTGATTGAGTAGATCAGATATGGTAAGAAATCTGAACTACGAGTTTCTGATTGATGAGCTGACAAGTACATATGTTCGGTGCCTCAGATTGATGAGCTGATTGACAATCTAGTTGGCACATTTCATATTTTGTAAGAAAACATCTAAAGCCCTTTACATTGCCAATATTTTCTTTCATCAAATTGTTCGATTACATGGCTTGCCCTGGAGTCTAATGTCTGATAGAGATGTGAAGTTTATAAGCCACTTTTGGCGCGAGCTTTGGAAACGTTTGGGCCTTCATTTGCATTTAAGCTCAGCTTACCATCCCCAATCTGATGGTCAAAAAGAAGTTGTTAACCGCACCTTAGGGAACATGCTTCGATGCCTAGTCCAAGAACATCTCAAGCAATGGGAAGATATGCTAAGCCAGGCCGAATTTGCCTATAATGCCATGACAAACCGTTCCACCGGTAAGTCCCCTTTTAGTATTGTTTACACTAAGTTACCCAACTTAGCATTGGATATTACTGTGTTGCCCAAATGCAAGTCAGCGACCACTGCCACATTTACTAACCAGTATGCGCAAATGCTCGTGGAGGTTCGCCAACACTTGATCGACTCCAATCAACGCTACAAGGCTGTTGCGGATGATCACCGGCGACAACAACTATTTAATGTGGGCGACCTTGTTATGATCAGACTACGTCATGAACGTTTTCCTTGGGGCACCTACTCAAAGCTCACAAGCCATAAAATTGGCCCCGTGCCTATTATTGCCAAGATAAATGACAATGCCTACACTGTTGCTTTACCGACAGACTGTCACACATCTCCTACGTTCAATGTCACTGTCATTTGGCCATATCACTCTCTTGATGATGCTGCTATTTCTATTAGCTCGTCAGAGTCGAGGTTCTCGGTTGTTGGGGATGACTGATGCAGAGCTTGAAAGAGCTGAACGCAATAAGACGTAGGACACATTACCACCCCCACGTTGCCTATCACTATTGTAGTACTACTTCTGTTATTATAGTACTATTGAGACCTTTTTGTTTCTTATTACAGTAATAACATTATCTAATATAATAGTAAATAGAAATATATATAGAGGGGGAAGAAGAGAACACAATATCATTTGATACCAAATTACAGAAATACTGTTTTACAGAAACATTTCTTGTTACTTGTCATTTTGGTATTCTCATTCCAGACTATTACACTATATAGCTACTCATATTGAAATCACTTGACACTACACTTGGCTATTGCAAGCATTGATAATTACTTTCACTGAAATTACATGTCTACAATTAGCTTTTCGAATGATTTTTTCTAACTAAATAATCTCATTTAAAATTTTATTTTTTTAATTTTTTGTGGTATGGTTTCTTCTGCTAAATGTTTTCTTTCATCTGGACTGCATTATAGCAGTTTAATTTTAAGTATTTTTTCCCTCTTGGGTTACTCTTATATTATTTCCTCTCTAACTTTCAGGTATATGGGAGCATACTTGTTACTGGTTTTAGCTACACTAGTTCAATATTTTATTACTGCATTTTCCTCTCCGGGGTAAATAAATGCTTTAGTTTATATATTTGTTTAGTTAAAATCATACGACGTTTTCTACAAATAAAATGCCTTTTACTGAAAACTTTTAGACTTTGCTACCATTTTTTATGTTAGGTATGTCATTGATGCAATGGCTGCTGGAAGTGAGATGCATACAACTCATGTAAATTCATCAAGAAATTCAATGTAAGACTAGCTTGAGTTTTGTCTGAATTTATGTAAATTTGAGCATTTTTCATTCTCTCGTGCATCAGTCAAAATTTTATGTTCATTTCAATTCTGCACTAAACTTATGCATCATTCTGGTGATCAAGCAAAGGCAACATGCTTCAAGAAATGGGACCTTGATTTCTTCCCTGAATAACAGCCAGTTGGGCAGAAATAACCCTCGAATGAATTCCTCATATTGGTTGAAGCTGGTCATGGAATTGTATCCTCCTGGATCATCTAGCAGGTTGAAAACTTTCCTTCACATTTGTCTGATTCTTCTGCAAATTGAAATTAATAATTGAGGCCAATATATTAATGTTCTTTGACAATTTCCTCGCAATTTTATAGCATTTCCGTCTCGTACTTCATAGAAATGTGGGTTTGATATATGCATATTTTCATTTGTTTTGATATATTTTCAGAAGGCATGGATTCATAAAATTGATTGCATGAAATGATTGGGTATAAATTTATCTACAACAACAACAAGTCTTTATCCCACTGTGGGGTCGGCTACATGAATAATTTTTCTCCATTGTGTCCTATTAAGAGTCAAATTCTCATCTAAATCTAATAAAGAAATGTCATTTTTAATATTTTTTATCCAAGTCTTTTTAGGTCTACCTCAACCTTTCTTAACATAAGTCAAATATAATACATATACTTTTCTAACTGAGTCATCAAAAGGCCGCTGTTTTATGTGACCAAACCATCAAAGACGATTCTCTCTAATCTTATCTTCTATTGTAGCTACTCCAACCTTTTCAAGTATATGCTAATTTTGTATCCTATCTCTAAGAGTAAAGACACTCATCCACCTGAGTATCCTCATCTCTGAAACACTTAATATTATGCTTCTCTTTTAATGGCCAACATTCTGCATCATAAAACATAGCATGTCTCACTACCATCTTATAGAATTTTCCCTTAAGTTTGAGAGGGACTTTTGTATCACACAACAAGCTCGATACATTTCTTTGAATTCTACTAATAATATCCCCATCAATTTCATCATCACTCTGAACAATAGACCCAAGATATCTAAAACATGTACTCTTATTAATAACTTTTATCACCCAAAGCCTCAATCCACTCACTAGATCTATTATTACTAAAATTATATTCCATATATTCAGTTTTAGATTATACTCAAACGATTAATGTACTTTGAGATTGTAATGTTTGGAAATAAATTCATTTGTTTTATTATAATTTAATGAATTTAATTTATTTGAAGTTATTATATTAAAGAAGAAAATACATATTTCACTACATGCTAGGGTTTTAATATAACATATGTATGATCATGTTTTATCTAGCTTAATGCATGTGAAAGTATTGAGTTTAGTCTTGCTCTTGCTTTCACATGTAAAATTTATGTTGGAGTTGATGTACTAGTTGGTTGGCCTTGCACGCAGACTTAATATTTTGGTCTGATAAACCCCTAGAAAGTAGAATAACGTGTACGTTGTCCTCTAAGTAGTCTGCTATCCCTATGAAATGGTATCAGTGACAAATGAATAAATAGCTGAACTTAAGTGAGTCACAAAATATCAAGCAAGCTCTGCCATGATCGAGCAAGTTTGGAAGACTATCATGTTGGTGCCTACAGTGAGTGAGCTCTTTGGTAATTTTTTGTTGGATGAAACTCAATTGATTTGGAATGTTTAGGTTATTGATAGAGTGTTGGTTGATTTGCTGAGCTCTAACACAATATTTTTATTTGAGCCAAACACAGTTACACGCGTTTGACCTGTTTATTATTGTGTATTGCTATTTATTTTAGTATACAAAATATTCAAATGATATTATGCATGCAACCATGCAGAGCTTCATGCAGATAGTTCTTTGCAATTGCATGCCAAGTGCACACAATAATTTTCCTTCTAACACAGATAATCAGTTAAGGTGTCATAATCTGGTATATTATAAATATGGTGTTGATATGCTAGTGGTTGGCCTGTTAAGCTGTTGGGTCAAGCAATTATTCGGCAAGTAGTATATATATATATATTGGAAAATAGTATATAAACCAAAGTTGTCGTCAAAGGTCCACAGTCCCTACAATGTCATCAGTAATATCTGTCCATTAAAGTAACGGTAGAAATTAAAACTGTAAAACTGGCCATTGAATATTATCAGGTTGCCTTGAAGGTAGCCCGACCTAAAATATAAGCTTTGATATATTGTTGGAGTTCCTGTGTAGTCACTTCATTTCTAGTCAATTTTTATTTGCAGCGATTATAGTCTGAATGTTAATCATTTTTATTACATTGCCACTAAAACCTTAGATTGAATGTGGATGAAATGGAAATGTTAATATTAATAATTTGTAGTTGTAGAAGAATGCATTCTGCAATGCAGCCATGTGGCATGCTTGGCTTTTAGTGGTTGAATGATACGGTCGTGAAATATTCTCTAGATTAACTAGCAGGGGCTTGTTTGCGTTGCTAATTTGCTATCCTACAAACATAATGGTGGCTTACCGTAATTTTTTTCTCTCCATCTTTCACAGGAGTTGGACTTGCTTGTACTGTAATCTCATCCAGGTATGTGGCATTGCGAAGTTCAAAAGTTTGATATGTAAAATTTTAATTCATTCCATTGTCAATTGGTGGCGATATCTATTGGAAAGAAATTTATGCACAATAACAAAAACATAATTGGCTTATTGCAAAAACCAAAAAAAAAAAAAGTTTGGAAATGAATGATCTTTTGAAATTCTTGTTCACTTGAGATTGACTATAAAGGCTTTGGAATCTTATTAAACTAAATTTTGCATTAGATTCAACAACTACTCTAGCAAAATTGTTCATGCTTTGTTGATATTTTTGCTTGATAGGAATTGAATAACGTTGATGCTGATAATGTCTTTGACGTGAAGATCCAAAACCTTCTTTATTATTCCTTCTTGGTTAGATAACTTTTCCTCAATTGATGACATTCTGTCCTCAAATGTCGATTTGAGTTAACTAACTTTTCCTTTAAAACGCTCTTCCATGGCATCAACTTTCCTTTCCGCCATAGGTTCCAAAAATATTCTATGATATCATTTTGATAGGAAGTTGATACAATTTCCTCGAAATCAGCAAACGATAATAAGAAATTAAGAAGAAAAATACACAAAAATTATTTTTATCGCTAGATATATGAAAGAAAATAGCAAGATACATTTGAATCTTCAATTGGAGAGGAATATCCGGCTCTCCCAAATCCCTAATTGACGGCTAGAGCCCTCATAACCTAAGAAATTCTAATTTCAGCAAACTCAAAACATAATCCTGAAATCACCCTATTCTTAGCCTAAAATAGGCTCCCATAATTCCCTCCCAAATCAGCCATGTTTTCCTAAATAATTCACTATCATATTTGAATTCAAATCTCATATTTGAATTCAAATTAGACCTCTTGCCCTAAATAATTTCCTCCCAATTATAATTAAAATTTTCCTAAATAATTCCCCTTTGATTATGAACCTTCCTAAACAGCTCCCTCTTGATTAGAAAACTTCTTAATTCCCTCTCAATCAGAACGGCCAGTCCATCTGCTTCTTTCAACGTGGACTCTTGAGGGTGTTTGCTCTATCCGCCTTGATTCTGCATTGGGATGTTTATTTTCACAATTTTTTTCCCTAAAACTTATGACGACCTGGAAGTCTCAATGCAGGCAAAATATGTATTTCATTTTTTTCTCTCTTTGATTTTTTTTCCCATATGATTGAAAAGGATGATGACACCCATTTTTATGACCTTCCCATTTGGACTCATAATTTGATCGGTGTGCAATTTCTCCTTAGATTTTCACACAATCTTTTGTTTTGTTTCTTTTCTGGAATCATTTCATGCTTTTACCAATTTGGTGCTCGATGGTGATATCGTCTCTGGAATACTAATATCATGTTTTTAAGGTTTTAGGGAAGGCTTTTTTTCTTGTTTGCTATTTTTCAGCTCTTTATTTCTTTCGTGAATTGGGTACAGGTTGCTGGTACTGTTCTTAATTTTGCACATTACAACTCTTAAATCTACAGCACGGTAGCAAATTGTCTAAAATGTTCATGTCAAGATCGCACCTTTTGGTTTGACGTTTGGATGTGATAATTAATCTTATTTTTAGCTGGTAATATTGTAGATCGAATCATTGCGATAGATGCATTACTAGATTATGCATGCGTGGGACCACGAATGACGGCACTAAGTGGCTTTAATGGATTGACTTTACAAAATTGTTTGATTTTAATTATGCAGTTTGCCATACTTAAGAATTAAGATTTAAGAATAATTGCCAACATCCAAAACCTTCTTTATTATTCCTTCTTGGTTAGATAACTTTTCCTCAATTGATGACATTCTGTCCTCAGATGTCGATTTGAGTTAGCTAACTTTTTCTTTAAAACGCTCTTCCATGGCATCAACTTTCCTTTCCACCATAGGTTCCAAAAATATTCTATGATATCAATTTGATAGGAAGTTGATACAATTTCCTCGAAATCAGCAAACGATAATAAGAAAATAGGAAGAAAAATACACAAAAATTATTTGTATCGCTAGATATATGAAAGAAAATAGCAAGATACATTTGGATCTTCAATTGGAGAGGAATATCCGGCTCTCCCAAATCCCTAATTGACGGCTAGAGCCCTCATACCCTAAGAAATTCTAATTTCAGCAAACTCAAAACATAATCCTGAAATCACCCTATTCTTAGCCTAAAATATGCTCCCCTAATTCCCTCTCAAATCAGCCCTGTTTTCTTAAATAATTCACTCTCATATTTGAATTCAAATTAGACCTCTTGCCCTAAGTAATTTCCTCCCAATTATAATTAAAATTTTCCTAAATAATTCCCCTTTGATTATGAACCTTCCTAAACAGCTCCCTCTTGATTAGAAAACTTCCTAATTCCCTCTCAATCAGAACGGCCAGTCCATCTGCTTCTTTCAACGTGGACTCTTGAGGGTGTTTGCTCTATCCGCCTTGATTCTGCATTGGGAAGTTTATTTTCACAATTTTTTTCCCTAAAACTTATGACGACCTGGAAGTCTCAATGCAGGCAAAATATGTATTTCATTTTTCTCTCTCTTTGATTTTTTTTCCCATATGATTGAAAAGGATGATGACACCCATTTTTATGACCTTTCCATTTGGACTCATAATTTGATCGGTGTGCAATTTCTCAGATTTTCACACAATCTTTTGTTTTGTTTCTTTTCTGGAATCATTTCATGCTTTTACCAATTTGGTGCTCGATGGTGATATCGTCTCTGGAATACTAATATCATGTTTTTAAGGTTTTAGGGAAGGCTTTTTTTCTTGTTTGCTATTTTTCAGCTCTTTATTTCTTTCGTGAATTGGGTACAGGTTGCTGGTACTGTTCTTAATTTTGCACATTACAACTCTTAAATCTACAGCACGGTAGCAAATTGTCTAAAATGTTCATGTCAAGATCGCACCTTTTTGTTTGACGTTTGGATGTGATAATTAATCTTATTTTTAGCTGGTAATATTGTAGATCGAATCATTGCGATAGATGCATTACTAGATTATGCATGCGTGGGACCACGAATGACGGCACTAAGTGGCGTTAATGGATTGACTTTACAAAATTGTTTGATTTTAATTATGCAGTTTGCCATACTTAAGAATTAAGATTTAAGAAGAATTAAGATTTAAGAATAATTGCCAACATTGTTAAGATAGCAACTGACACTGTAGCTTGAATTTCATTATAGTAGAATCATAATCATAAGGATAGCCTGTTGTTAGCAATTTCATCATTATCATAATTAGGCTTGTCTTAGCTATTGATAAGGGTGTCAATATTTAACACGACCAAAAAATTCGACTCGAACCCGACCCGAAAATTTCGGGTTAGGGTCAACCCGAACCCAAAACGGGTTGTGTTCAACAATTCGACCCATTTCAAAAAATCGGGTCGGGTTTGGGTTGAGCGTTTGACCTGAAATTGACCCTAAACTGATCCGTTTTTACCTGAAAACCTGTTTTGACTCGGTAACCCGAGATTGACCCGTTTTTTACCCGAAAAGCGGAGATTGACCCATTTTTGGTCCAAAAACCTAGATTTTTTTGTTGGCACCGGGTCATTCGGGTCGTGTGGGGTTCGGGTCCGAAAAACCGACCCATTTTAAAAACGGGTCGGGTTCGAGTTGACCCGAATAGTGTCGGGTCATTTTTGGGTTCGACCCAAACCAAATCCATGACCCGAAATTGACACCCCTAGCTATTGGGTTTTTGTCTTTTATATTGGCATTCTGGTAAATTACTTCTGATTCTATTTAGGTCATTTTTAATGGAGTCCATGACTTTTGAGATTTTTCTTGTTAGAATAATATATCTGGTTGAACTTTACTTTTTTTTCAGATGACAGTGAAAATATATTTTAATCCCATCTGTAATTGCTATGTCCACCCCTTCTTCCATTGTCATATGATTTATCTGTTTGGATTAGAAATGTATTTGAATTACATTTTTTAAATAAGTTCTCACATGAAAGGTCTCATGTGATTCAGCTTAATGGCGTTCTTTGTGCAATTATAGGGTCCGAGTTTGAATTACTTCAGTTTTGTATATGGACCTAGATCTCATATGTGATGCGTAAACCTTCATACTAATTTTGTTGTTAACCAAAATGCTTCTTCTTCAGTCATCTGAGACCAAAATACCCTTTTAAAGGGTGCAAATATTCCGGCTTCTAATAATCATAAGAAAGCTAGAAGTTTTGTAAAGAATGTTGTGAATAATGCAATAGTTGCAAATTTTTTTGATTTATATAATAGGTTTCCATACTAAGGAAAGAGAAAATGATACATTGAGAAATCCTTAAATGAGCGTTTTAAGGATAAAATTATTTTCAAAGTACATAGTGAAGTATATTATAGATTGATTTAAAAAAATGGAGAGTTGGCTCTGAAAAAGGCACGTGAAGGTATTACTTTACGTCCAAATGAGATATCTATTGAGATTTGGAGAATTATGAGGGATATTTAAGCGATTTGATTAATACATATTTTCAATAGAATTTTGAAAATTAAGAGATGCCGAATGATTAGAGAATCATGTTAATACTAATAAGAGCAAAAGTTATACTTAAGATTGTGCTAATTATATAGAAATCAAACTTTTTGAGTCATATGATAAAGATATGGGAGAGAGTAATGGAAGAGAAGCATAGAAAATTGTATTAATTTTGAAGAATTAATTTAATTTCTTGCTGAAGTATTTACTTTGGTTGTGATTTTTGTGTTAAGAATTAGTGATTAAGTATATAGAATAAAGAAATAATCTTCTATGATTTTTGTTGATCTGAAGAAGCGATATGATTGAGTATCATGTGAATTTATTTGGTTTGCTTAAGTTAAGAAGTATTTGGCCAATATATGCTGATGTTATTAAAGATATTTTTGGAGCGCTAACTAGTATTGGAAATAGTTGTGAACCCAAGAGTTCCAAATTACCATCGGTTTACATCAAGGATCAATGCTGAGTCCATATCTCCTTGCATTGATTTTGGAGATATATACAAAAGATGTTCAATTCGAGTTACCTGTTGTATACTTTTTGTAGATGAAATAGTTTTTGTTAGTGAGATTTTTATTAGAATAAGTGAAAAATTAGAACAATGGAGGAAATTTTTAAAAGAAAAAGGCCTTAAAATTTATAGGAAAAAAGAGTTGATATATAATTTTAGTGGGTATGATTTAAATTCTCATTTAATACTATTAAAATATGTGTTGATACCTATTTGTGATGGGTTAAATATTATTTATTTATTATGTAAAATAATGATGATATAATATCTAGGATTGCTAAATTGGAGTGCCTCATGAGTTATGGGATAAGAGGATATCATATATGCTTGAGTTCTATTTGAGACATCTTTCCTAGTGCTTTGCTTTTCTGAGCACTGCCTACCACTCTAACATTTGGCTTGTACCTTTTGTTATTTTTTTAAAAAAATTATGGTGTGTATATACTTGTTATGATAATGTTTGCTAGAGTTTGGTTAATGTAAGAAAATTGTTGTCCAATTTCTTCATAAAAGAATTATTTTTGCTTCCAACCGCAACTTAAAAAAAAAGTTAATTCCCTCGTAACAGCTTTATAATCACTTTTACAACAATCTACAATCGTCCCGAATGAATTCGTAATTATATATTTTACAAAACCACAATTAGGCCGACAATGTAGTTTGGATTCAAAGTTTGGGCTATAAAAAGTCATTGATATTTAAATTGAGTGTTATAGAAATTCGAATGTAAAGATGGATGTGTGGGAAAACTATGAATAATAAATTAAAGAATGATTTTATTAACTTAAAGTTTGGACTTTGGAATGACACCTATTGAAGATAAGTTGACCAAAACTAGATTTAGATGGTTTGGACATACACAACGAACTATAGAGTTAATGTTAAAAGATTAGAAAAAAAAATGTTTAACATCTCAAAAAATATTCAATCTAAGTGAATGGAAAATAATGATTCTTAACATTGTCCCCAAATAGTCAAGATAATGTTAATGATTATGATTATATATGGCTTTGGGGATCTAAGTTGAAACACTATTTTTGGTTCTATATGGTTTCCTAAATGTGTGGGGCCTAAAATTTTATTAATCTCTTCCATTGATCGTTTACAATAATTTCAAAGAATATGTTTAACATCTCAGAAAATATTCAATCTAAGCGAATGGAAAATAATGATTCATAACATTGTTCCCAAACAGTCTAGATAATGTTAATGATTATGATTATATATGACTTTTGGGGATCTAAGTTGAAACACTATTTTTGGCTCTATTTTTCCTTAATGTGTGGGATCTAAAATTTTATTAATCCTTTGCTTTTGAATTGCTCCCTTAACATATTGCTGCTATCGTTCTTCAGAAATTCCTCATAATTTCATTGTACTACTTTTAGTGTAATTGCCATCATATGTGTATTCCAGGACAGTACCATGATTATACGTTATTATTACAACTGTTACATGTATGCTTTGCTAATGATGATCACTTTTAATGGAAACTAGAAATAGTTGGGATAAGGCTATTGATGGTGATCAAGATGATGATTTTTCACTCATGCTGTGCCATTCCAGTTTGAAACTTTTTAGTGAAAGTAGTTGCACATACTTTTCATTTCATCTTTTTAGTTGTATAGCCATCGGCAAGGCATGGAAGTATATATTCTCTCTAAAAAAAGATTGACCTTGGCTATGATCTGTGACATTTTGTTGTATTGTTCCTCGTAAAGCAATTACTTGTCTAGATTTAAGGTTCTTGACTCTTTTTGCAGCCTCCACGTGCAAAGCATTGCCATGATTGTAACAAATGTGTCCTTCAGTTTGATCATCATTGTGTTTGGCTTGGGACATGCATTGGCAAAGGGAATCATTGTCGATTTTGGTGAGCTTGTTCTTTTTCATTGATAGAAAATTTGATTTTTCATTATTAGCTTTGATTGCTGAGGTTAGATTTAATGAATACTTATAATTGTTCTCTGACACTTTTTTAATTCGTTGGACGCACTTTTTTTTTTTTAATTCGTTGGACACTCTTCTCTGTTGAATGAAAGGAAAGCTAGGGTTAAGAAATGAGTAGCAGCATAACATATTTTTCCACTTCATTCAACGCTTAACACTGTTGGATGAAAGGGAAATAAGGGTATGAAATGAGAAGCAGCTCATATTAACTGAAAGGAAAGTAAGGAGTGGGAAATCAAAAGCAATTCAGAATCATTTTCCATTTCATGCACACTTAACACTATTGGATGATCCATTTCATGCAACACTTAACACTATTGGATGAAAGGAAAAGTAATTCTAGTTTCAAATCAATTGTTTAGTTTCATAATCCACCTGCTATAGCTTTAATTTCATTTTTCCATTCACATTCATTTCATCAAAACCAGCATTGTTAGACCGTGCTTCATGTGTGGAGTGCATTGCCCCTGTCATGCTTGCACATGGCAAAGCACGGTGTTAATGCAAAGCTGTCGCTTTGGCTCTCTTTGGAATGACCCATTGCACTTTCTAATGTGCACCCAGGCCCTGCTCTAATTTTTTTTCTAACATTACTTTGCACAGAATTTTTTATCCATCATATGATGCGCTTAATGCATATAACACCATCAAAGTGCGGTCTGAGTGCCTTTTTACATGGAAATCATAGCTCCTTTGAGGCCTCGACTTCTCCTACAGTCCTTTGATTTAATTTTTTTTGTACCTACTTATTTTTGTAATGTAATCATATATTTTGATTGTATTTTATTATTAATTTTGCATGTCGTGTTTTATTTGTTGGAATATCATATTATGGCTCATTTTTAGCTAGTAAAGTGGGTATAAATGTATATTCAATATTGTGCATTTATATAATATAGAGTTGTGTGCATTAGTTAACAAAAGTACTGCTTCTATGTGTTGTGCGAGCATGAACCATGAGATTCATTTAAGCCAACTTTTTGTTTTTATTGATAAAGGCTGAAACTTTGAAAACCCTTTTTTTTCCTTTCAACTGAAGTTTCAATACCAGTTTTACCAGAAATGAGGTTTGCTGTGTTGTTTCAGCATTGTGCTTAAGCTTAGTTATCTACAATCTGTTAACGTCCTTGATTTTGGCATTCCACATGATGATTTTAAAGGAGGTAATGAGTTTAAAGTTCTGATCCTAGTGCTCATGGTGTTAACATGGATGCAAAAGTTGAAATTTTGAAAAAAAAATGTACCACAAGAATTATTGGAGTTCATGTGACTTGTTTGCACGTGTGACTACACAAGGAGTTCATGACTTAGTGCATCTAAACCAATGTAGTACCATTGTGTGGTTAGTTATTCGTGAAAACTTCAATGAGGTATTTGAAAAACAGATGATTTGAAATCTTCTTTAAACCAGGGAAAAGACTGCAAATCAAAATTAACTTATAGTTTTGAAGAAATAATTAGAATGGTTGATACAGGCACCATATAGATTTCCTTATTTACGTAACTTTTAATATGTACTTAGCGATGGATATTTTTTTTATTTCATTATGCAGCCTTTCTAACCCGTATACCAAAAGTTGTTGCTGCTTTTATTCATATGCTAAAAGCCTTCTTCCCTTTTTAGATGTTGTAACCTGTTCGTCAATTATTGGTTTACTCGTATTAGTATTATTAAATCCTTAACTTCAACGGTTGTTTAGGCATTTTGATGTCATCACCAGCAATTTTAGCTAAAAATCTATGTTTAAATTTTTGAAATTTAAGAGTTTCTTAGTTCCTACTATACCTAGTGATTGGATGAACTCTGATGCTTCCCTTATGTTATTTTGGTCCTTTAATTTGGCCCTGGATGATTCCGATCCACTGATATTGGCAATCAGAAAGCCCGCACAAATAAATCTCCTTCAAATATGGAAGTGGGCTAGGGGGCTAGGCTCTTAGTTCACAGTTTTTGACTAGATCAAATAGGTATATAGTCCTCATTTTAACACATTTTACCTAAAATGTATCTATGATTACCACAACATATATGTGGTCTAACTTGATATAGTTGATTCTCTTACAACCCGATTGTAGACTAGAGCTTGACCTATGTGATCGGATTATGTTAGCCTAGATGGTCTTACTATAACCTTGATTCGACCTATTTCACAGAGTTTGACCCATTTTGACAAGTTTGCACCTATTGTATGTTTTTTTGGAGAGACGGAAATTGAAATCTTTGTTTGCATTCATTCAACTTATTTATAATTTTTTATATGTTCTTTCCAACATTGTTTAGATGATATTCCTAACAGATTCTACTTTCAGGTGGTACATTTTTGCTGAGACAATTGTATGCATATGGTCAGGAGTATTGTACATCTCCTTCCTTAGATCAGACTTGATGAATGTTTGGTATGGAATATTTCATGCATTTCTCTCTCAATTTTTCTCAAATTGTAGGAATAAGACAATGTTAGATTTTTGTCGCCTTTTTTATGATGGTATGAAATCACAGGCTTATTTCAGATTTTGTAGTAAGCGACAGTTTACAGTTAATCTGCTATACTGATTAATGTTCGCTTGCAATGTGTTTCGTAGGTGGAAGATTATGATTGTGGTGGTCTTGTTTATAGGATTATCACTTTGCTTCATCTTTCTTCTTCTGCTGCTGCTTTTTCATACGTGAGTTCTTTTTTTTTCATTAAATTAATTTTTTTTGGCTTTTTGACACTTTTAGTATGTGATTAAATTTATTCCTGTGCTGAATTGAGTTATCATACTTGTTATAATAGTATAGGATGCAAAATAAACAAGATCTAAAATTCTATTTGTATACAAGTAATGAGTCTATTTGGACTAGCATTTAGTAAAGGTAATATTTGTTGAAAATAAATTTGGGTAGTTTGGAAAAATACAGAAAGGTTAGAATATACTCTCATGTAGATTAAAAAAAATCTTAACGGATTTAGAAGAAAAGGGATAGTCTTATGGAAAAATGGATAGAAATTATTAAAAAAAAATGTCATGACCCCAAGTTTAACACCTCATGCAAAACTCAATATTTAACAAGAATGAATGGAACAAACAAGAATGAATGAAACCATAAAGCAAACTCAAAATAGTTAGGATAAATTTAATCTTTATGATGGTCCAAATAAAATGAGAGACAGTGGAATAACAAAATTTTCTTCATTGATTTTAACAATAACACGAGTTTCAATATGTAAGAAAATACATGTAATAAAATATGAAAGAAATAATGAAAATTAAAGAAGAGAATATTCTCAAATTTGAGAATATATTTTTGTAGGAGGTAATATAATGAAAATTTGAATCTTTCTAATTTTGTAAAATATTTATAATAGTACTCCCCCTCAATTGGAGAAATTATTACGTGCGGAGTCCGGACAGGAGAACTGTTTGGATTTACTGAGTTGTAAATACTCAGCAAATATTCAGTTGTGAGTATTTGCTGAGTATACTCACGAATTTTGTGAGTAGTTTTTCATTTGCTGAGTATTTACAAATACTCAGCAAATACGGACAATTATCCCGTATGAACTCCGTACGTAATAATGTTTTCCTCAATGGAGCATATTTATGAAGGAGTTAATGATTATTGTAAAGATTGGGGAAACAGAGTGGTCTTAAAGCCTTGGTAAAATATATGTTAATTATTTTTACTGGAAATGTGATGAGTGATCTTTTTTTGGGGGATCAGATCTCTGACGAAGTGAAAATTCACTTCAATTTGTTATTCTTTCATGAAAAATATGGTTTCAAGCAATGCAAATTTTTATATGATTATCATATTTAATGATCACATCTTTTATGTTTAGTCATGAATGTTCTCATCAGACATTTGCAAGAGGTTTTACCATGGTTTATGCTTTTTGCTAATGATATTTTTCTTACTGATAAGACTAGAGAGGGAGTTGAAGCTAAACTTGAATTATGGAGGTCAACATTAGAGTTTAAAGGTTTTCCTTTTGGGTAGATCTAAAACCAAATATAGATTGTATTTTAGTACTAATAGATCTAGTTGGGGGATTGCGACTTTGGACGATCGAGCCATTGATAAGACTACACGATTTAGATATCTTGGGTCTATTATTCAGAGTGATGATGAAATAGATGGGGATATTATTAGTAGAATTCAAGTTGGATGGTTGAAGTGGAGGAATACATCGGGCATCTTGTGTGATAGAAAAGTCCCCCTCAAACTTAAAGGAAAATTTTATAAGATGGTGGTGAAACCTTCAGTGCTTTATGGTGCAAAATGTTGGTCATTAAAAGAGAAATATAATATTAAGTGTTTAGAGATGAGGATGTTCAAGTGGATGCGTGGCTTTACTCTTAGAGACAGGATATAAAACGAGCATATACGTGAAAAGGTTGGAGTAGCTCCAGCCTCCAGTGGAAGATAAGATTAGAGATAATCGCCTTTGATGGTTTGATCACATAAAATGGCCGCCTTCTGATGATCCGGTTAGGAGAGTAGATGTATTAGATTTGACTCATGTTAAGAAAAAGTAGAGGTAGACCTAAAAAGACTTGGTTAGACAATATTAGAAATGACATTTCTTTATTAGATTTAAATGAGAATATGACTCTTAATAAGACTCAATGGAGAAAAAAGATTCATGTAGCCAACCCCATGTAATGGGATAAAGGCTTGATGTTGTTGTTGTTATCACAATTAAAGATCATAAACTGAGTTATAAGGAAGCCCAATTCTTCTATTAGAGTTTTAATCTATATCATTTCATTGATAAAATGTGACAGCTCTGTATTTCTTCGACACAATTTGCTCTTCGCCACGAAATAAGATTTCCCCTAACGCAATATCTGGAAGTAGAATTTCAGTTTTTATTGAATCCATTATAGTCAACATCAAAATAAGCATCAATCTTTAAAAGGTTGTGTTTTTGATAAGTTAGACATTTTCTCAGACATTTCTTAATTTATATTTAAATTTTAAGACTTCCAATGTCTCTTCCTTGAGTTTTGAATGTTCTAACTGACTATGTCGGCAATAACGGATATATAAGGTCAGGGATAATATGAAAGATATGCTTACTAACTAGATGTTGGTGGTATGAAGTTTCTTCAATTCATTGTCAATGGATGCCTTTTGAGTATCCATGGTAGAGTCAGTATTTTGTACTCGAAAAGCCTAGTCTTCTCAATATGGTTTGTGGCATTTTTTTATGAGATAAACAATTGTGATATGCAAACTTGATGCTGAGAAATGGTTTTGGATGCCTTAAATTTTTAGTAATGAACTTCTTATGCAGACATTATTTTATTTCCCCGACATCAAGTATTTCATTTCTAGTCAGAAGAATGTAATCAACATACATAAAAAGGATCACGATACGATAGGGCATGATTGAATGAAGATTTGAGGACCAATATCAACAAGGATCTTGCAGGGTTTATAAACTATGATGCACGCACACGGACACGGTGAATTAGACACGCACACGACACAGACACAAGACGCAGTTTTTTTTTTTAAATCTAGAACACTGGTATGACGTGGATACGACATTACAATTTTTTTAATATAGTGTATAGAAATGAAGATAACATCATATTAGAAATATCAAACAATAATAAATGAATGTCATGAAAACTTGTCTAGCTTATAATATAAAATATTTAGTACAAAATGTTTAGTACAACCACCAAAATAAGTAAATAACCATTTACTACAGTAGCAAACATTAAAGCTTCAACTAATCAGTAAATGGAATAATATGATTAGCTTCAGAGGTTTATCTTTGGCCTTCAATATCATCATTATTGAATATCATTGCTTCCAACTCTGGTTCATTAAGGGAAAGATTTGCAATCTCCAATATTTCCATATCATCAAGGGACTTAAACTCATCTCTAGCAACATCTCACATCTTGTTATCACCTGTCATATAAAGTAGGGTCTTTCTTGATAGAAGACAAAGATTTGTATGCACATAAATTAAATCTTCAGCCTATTGTGGAGTAATTTTATTCCTCTTCATCGATTGAATGAATATGTGCTTCAATTTCTCTCACGACAAGAGGAGGGTGAAACTTAACTAAGAAGTTTTATTTCTATTATTTGAAGTAATGGTGCTAAAATTCCATGAATCAACCATCACATCTTTGGATCCATCCTCCATCTATCAACCAAAGATTCTTGATCACCAAAGTCCTCTAAATATCCATAGAACTTTGCAAGTTCTATATTAATCTCTTCTCCTCCTCATTTGGATAATAATGTTTCAAACATATCTTTCTTATATTTGAAATCTCTATATCATTTTGTGGTGAGATACGTTGAGGATCTTCTTGAAGCCATTCTTTACTTGAATTTCTTCAAAGAATATAAAAAAGTAAAATTATTAATTCATTAGCCAACAAATTAAAAATTAATTTAAAAGATATATTCAAATTTGCCTTAGATTTAATGAGTTAGTCAAATAATGAAGTGGTGTGTTACTTTTGCTCCACCTATCCTCAAGAATAGTATAGACACCGCTCCAAAAACTCAAGTCTCCATCTTGCGTCTTTCTTTCATGTCTGTATATGATTTCTTTCACTTTAGCTAACACAGAGTCTCACATCTCATAAATCAAATGTTGACTTGATTTATCAGTGTCAGCCTCTTTCAACATATCATAAATTGGATCAGTAAAATTCAAAATATAATCGATATTATCCCACCACAAATTATCTAAAATCTTTTCTTTTACGTATCTTGCCTTCCTAACATCATCTTCCAGATAGCAAGATCACTCATTAATTATTATAGATTGAAGAACATTTTTTATTTGATTGAATCTTCTTAACATGATTATTACATAGGCAAAATGAGTTTCAGCAACAGCTAACATTCTTAAATATGAGAAATCAATAAAGATGGATAGTCTCATTGAGTGGTTCATTATGAAATTTTTTATCAGAACAATGTCATCAGCAACAACTGTTATCCAATGACATTTAGTATAGATGACTTCATTAGCCTATATATTGTTGGCTGCACATGTATTTTTTAGTGCAAGATTTAAAGTGTACACAACACATGAAGTCCAGAAGATATGACTTCATTTTCAATAATATTGCAGCTCTAGTTAATGGTGCATTATCAGTGATAACCTGCACAATATTTGATTGGTCAATCATCACTATCACTTTTTTAATCAGATTGGAAATGAAATACTTATCCTTGTATTGCCCTTCACAATTCACAGCTTCGATAAACATTAGGTAATTCTATGTAACAACTATTAAATTGATGAGTGGTCTTTTTTGAGGATCAATCCAACCATCACACACCAAACTGACACCTTTTTCTTTCTACACTCTTTTCGTTAGTTCAAGTAATGTCTGAATATTTGCTCTCTCCCTCTCCAACAATTTTGATCATAGTGCATTCTATGCAGGTGGAATATAACCCACAAGGTTGTTTTTACATACAAAAGTGAATGCATTCTTATAATAAGGATTCCTTGTGATGTTGAAAGTAAGTTCAGCTGGAAAAAAATATCCTTGCAATTTCACCATCAAGTTGCTCTCGCTTCTAGATATTAAAAGCCTTCTCTAAAGAACTACTAGCAACTCCTTTTTCTTTTCTTATATTCATATCCTTTACTCCTAAATGAACCAATATGATGAACTCTAACAGAGGAGGAAAAAGTGTGGGATGAACGATGAGTAGAGGGCAAAGGTATCTCTTTAGAAAGTGGTCTTTTGATCCTTGATTCAGCTTCATCAATATGTATGTTCAATTCTACCAACTGCGAAGTAGTATTGATTAATAGGTCCATTGTCATTGGATGTAATGATGCCTATTGATAGCGAGTAGTAATGGATGACAGGTTGGATACTTGTAATGAGTAACACATTTTTCGTCATTGAATGCATTAAGTGGGACACCTTTCTTGGCGAGCACAATCGAAGACATGATCATCATTAGTTGGTTGAAGTACAACGTTTGCCGACAATAAGCTTTACAAGAGCCACTGTGTTGTCACAAGTGAGGAAAAACAATGAGCTTTGCAAGAGCCACCATATTGTCAGAAGCGAGGAAATTTCTCTAGAGCCAAAATTGTAGAGAATATCTTGCAATTGAATTTAATTCGAAACATATTTATTGATTTTTGGATGGCTATTTCTATCCTTATATGGCTTAATTTTTGTGTTTATTTGTAATGGAAGGTGGAGATCAAAATCTCTCATAATCAAAATTTAATTGAACGAGGCCTCCCCATGAGTTCTCATCGAGCCCTGCCCAGACCCTAGCCCAAGCAATCAACAATGGAAATTGTCACCAGTGAAGTCTTAAATCGTTAATATGAAGATTTAACAGTTTAGGGCTTTTAAGTCCTCATTCAAGCAGTCTAAGGTAGGAGTAAAATATCCAAAACTTCAAATCTGTTTAAAACTGTGTAAAATCTTCATAATGAATCTATTATAGCTCCCTCAAGATTTGATTAGATTCGGTTTGAAATTGCTATATTATATGTATATTTGATGCAATACTAAGAGAAAGTAATCGTTGACCCAATTGGATGAATTTTATAGCTCGTTAAAGTATTGCTATGTTGAATTTCTCCTTCAACCTTACATTTTTACTATTTTGATTCAACTTAAAATCAACCTTATATTCTCAAGTTTGATCTCCTTTGCGCAGTTTTCTCGTGCTAACAAATCAGACTACATATGAACTGGTGAGAAGACGGCGGATACCCTATTTAAGGTATTTGCAAGATACTTGTTTTAATTCCCATTGCCTATTTCGCCTATTTTTTTTATCACTACATTATGCATCTTTTATAATTGATATAAGATTTCTTATTTTTTATGATACGCTTGATTTGCACCAAAAGAGTCAAGAAGATATTAAAATATGAAATAAAGGAATAGTGACCTGAATGGTGGTGGAATCAGAGAGGGGTTCCGGATGTCTATCCTTCCTCAATATTTGAAATATATATAATATGGAAGTTTTTCTCGTAAATTCCTCTGTAACTAAGTGCATTATAGAAGCTTAAACCCCCTCCACAAATTTATAATAAATACATTTTTTTTCTTTTCATTTAAAATTCTAAATCTGCCACTAACGAATTGCATTTCTGATTAAGCAATGCATTTTCAAATTCAGATATTTAACTCCACCTTTGGTCTTTGAATATGGACATAAAATACTTTCACCGGCCCTCAAACAGGAGAAATTATTATGTACGGAGTCTGGACGGCAAGTTCCCGTCCACATTGTGAGTGTACACAGTGTTTGTATACAATGTATAAAAAAATTAAATTATACACACTGTGTACACTCACAGTACAGACTAGAACTTTCCGTCCAGACTCTGCACAGAATCATTTCACCTCATACAGAGCTATATATGATGAAATGCACCATTTATAAGCAGTTTACTCTCTTTTTTTTTCAATATATCCGGCCATGACTCTAAATTCACATATTCTATCTGCGACAATCTCAAATTGCAGGGGAATTCCTGAGAGAGTTCGGCCATTCAGCAAAGGCATTTGCAGGAACCTGTATAACTTTTGCTGCTCTTTTGATAGTATCTACAACTTGGAAGCAGTTCCCACATTAGAGGAGCTAGAAGAGAGAGCAAGATCATACACCTGCACTGATATCCTCACTTGCAGGTGTTGCTGAGACCTAAGTTGTTGGGGTTCTTTTCTGGGGTCTGCTTGTAAGGTGTGAATTCTGTGATTTTCTAAACCCATTATGCTATTATGCTATTCTCAATAATTTTATTATTTGTTTGCAGATTTTTTTTTTTTTATTGCATCAGACTATAAATTTATAATTATGTAATTGGGATAAGGCTTATGATGCAATTTTTGCTGGTTTAGTTATTTTGTAATTATGTAGTTTTTATTTATCAGGCGGTGTGGCAGATTTGTTAAAGTGAAATGAATTTGGCTGGATATTTTGATAGGGTAAAAAGAACTTCAAAATCATTAAATTTAAATGATTTTGATTAATGTTGTTATGATTGTGTTCATATACAATCAATCTAATTATTTTGCGATTCATCTTTATCATAACTTGGGTAATTTTGGTTTTTTGGTTAGAAGTTTTTGGCTACCAAAAAAGAAGTCTTGGATTCGTGTGATGTGTATTTGTTAGTCTTAATTAACCTAATTATTATATATATATAATAATTAAATTTATTCGTCTAAAAGATAAATAAAATTAAAAAAAAAACAAAGAGATTTAAATACAAACTATTAATTTGTGATGTGTGTTCCTAACAAAGATTAGGTTTTTATTTGAAACAATATTTTAATATATCAAGTTTTATGTTAAACGAGTGGCTTGCTATTAACATCGTAGTTCAACGAATGGATGATGGGCAGCTGACTAGATTGACACCTAACTCAACATAGTTGAGTGATCTGAGTCAGTAGTAAATCGCCTGTTAAACGGTCAATTTTTGGTATTAGTATTATTTTAAAATTTTGCCCAATAAGATGGTAGGCTTTGACTGGTATAAATTACATAACATAAGGACAAAAAAGGCCAAAGTCAATCAAGCATTTTGATCTCTTGAGTTTTATGGCATGTTGTTTAATGTTAGTGACAAATTTTATTGCATTTGGTATTCCAAACAAAGCAAAATGAAATGTGTGGTGTTTGTATTGCAGTTTGGTAACTGACATAATCAGTCACCAATATTGTTGAAAATAACATTTTTAGGGTTTGTTTTGTTAAAGTGTTATTTATATATTTTAGGGTATGTGCTTTGTTTTATTTAAAGATTTTACTACTTTTCAGGATTGTAAACTGACATAGTGAGAACTCTGAAAACCATCAGATATGAGTCAATTTTGTCCTATTAGAACATAAAAATGGTTTCTAAATTTATTAATTAGATATGTTAATGAAATAAATAACTGACATTTATTAATAATATAACATAAAATAAAAATATCAATGAATGAAACAACCCTTGATAAATATTCAAATATGTCATTATGTCCAAAGGGATATTTTTTTTTTCAAAAAAAAAAATAAAATATTGTACACACATTAATCATCTTGAATGTTGTTTTACAATTTACTTCATATTTTTTTATAAAAAATTATGTATATATCATGAGATAATTTTCTTATGAAACAAATTTGGATTAGAATATTCCTATATTTTTTTTTTTATCAAAACGAGTTTATACTCAGGGTAAAAGTAAAAGTGTAGAGATTTCGTAGACATGCCAAGGTGGCAGCGCCATCGACCTATTTATACCGATTGAATTTATTTTGATATTATAGTAATAAAAAATTTTGATTGATCATCCATGTAATGCACTACTTTTAAATCAAATAAAATGATTATAAATTTGATTATGATTAAATTTTAATCAAGATATCTTAAACAAGATTTTTTCAATATTAAAATACATGATTTCAATGATGTTGTCAAGATTATAATGAAAGTATGAGCTAAAGCATCACATTTAAATTGCTGAATTTTGAAATCTTGTAATGTTTATAAGGCATTGGTCAGCTTAGGGACCAACCATGGAGACAAGATTCTTAATCCTATAAAGAAGCATGTTCAAATGTCACATATCTATAAGGTTATAGATATCATGAAGGAAGTGGGGCCTATGACAACAAGAGGTTCCTAATGGAGATATGGTCATTCTTCATATCTCTAATGCAAATCATTTTCTAAGAAATGGAATTGCCAACCAAAGTTTTGTGATCCATGGAATAATTTTATAGGATTGATAGAATAAAAAGGAATTTAAATTGCTTGTGCATTTATATAAGGTGGCATACTATGTTTCCATTGAGAAAGATTAACAAGCTTTGGTGTTTTGAATGTTGATATTGTTGGAGTAGATGTAATGATAATTATGGAACTAGTAAAAAGTAATTATATATTAAGTAATGAGCGTCAACTAAGGTTTCGTCTGTGACAACTTTTTTGATGCTTCTTATAACAACTTTTTAGCAAAAAAAGGAATTTTTTTTACTAAAAAGCTGCTTTGAGAAGCAATAAGAAGGTCGTCCAAAACAAAGCTTAAAGCTTTATTTGGGACAACTTTTTTACTGCTTTTTAAAACAATTTTTTAGTATAAAAAACTTTTGAACTAAAAATGTTTATATTAGAAACTTGCTTTAGAAAGCAGTGAGAGAAAGCTGTCCCAAACAAAGACTAATTTAATTAATAAAAATTTTAGAAATTTTTGTCAAGGTCCTCGGATCTAAACTTACCTACATCAAATTTATACTTTAATAGTCAAACTGCCTTTTAACAATATATATATTTGCAATAATTCCGTGTTGTCTTTCATTTAATGATGGTGTTGATTGTCAATTTTGATTCTTCATCTCCTTCAAATTGTTAAAATTCATCATTGTTGTTGATTATTTTTGCATTAGGATTACAAAAGGAGAACGATACATTCCCCAAAGAAGTTCCTATATATATAAAAAGTAAATTAATGTTCACTTAAGTTTTGTTTGGGACGACTTTCTTTCTGCTTCATAAAGCAGCTAGCTTTCTAGTATAAAAATTTTAATTTTTATACAAGAAAGCTACTTTACGAAGCAGTAATAAAGCCGTCACAAACGAAACTTTAGATGATTAGAACTTCTATAATTACTTATGCTTGAGAATCAAAGCCTCTAGACCTGCTTATTACAATAATCATCTTATGTGTAACATATGAACCACCTCCTATGCAAAATATATATATATATATTATAAAAAAGAGAATATTCTAATTGAAATTTGATTATGATGATTTTAAAATTATTAAAATTATTTTGAATTGGGTGTAATGCAAAAGTAATTGATTAATTTTTTTCTCAAACTCTTCAATAAATAAATTTAATATTTTTTTAGGTTCAACCTGACTACTTTTTTCAATCATCAATAGCTTGACAACCATTTTGCTTAATCAACAAAATAAGCTGCTCGGAGAGATCTAATGAAATAAAATAATTTAAGAGTGCTAAAGTATAATTTTTTTTTTTTTTGTTAAAGGAAGTATAAAATTTTATTTTTGTATAAATTTTCCAAAACAAGATAAAATAAAATAAGCAGCAAATTGATTTAATAGACCGGACAAAGAAGATAATCATTCATGCAAGTAACCAAAGCCACATTTCTATTTCATGAACATTGCTGCAACATTTATATTATTATGATTTTTTTTTTCTCTTAATAGAGCTTCTGCTGTCTAAGAAACATGACATATGAAGCTGAAAATCTCCATTAAGATTTCATTTGGGACATTTTTTTTACTATTTTTTACAACAGTTTTCTAGCACATAATTTTTTTTGAAAGTAGTGAAAAAACAATGACAAGAAACTGCCCCAAATGAAGCCTAAAATTTAGCTCAAACTATTTTCCGAGCTCCTACGGAAAAGCCCCAAGTGTTTATATTTGTAGTTAGTTAGATTTGGGATTCAAAACTTAATATGAACACAAGCGCTCATATTTTTTGTATTCATCTTGATTGAAAGATTTACTCTCGATTGAAGTAGTTGTTTGATTCTAACTATTATAGTACATAATGATGATTAAAGAATATGTAAGTTGTTCATAATATTATTATCCTCAAAGAGCTAAACCCCCTCATTCCTTATGTTTTCAAGTATATTATTATCCAAAAAATAATTTTGCTTAAAGGCAATATAGAAATTTATCAGAGAAGTTAGGTTTTTAATTTAGAGAACAATTATTTTAATGTCATTCAATTTTTGCATTGAAAATTTTCCAATGCAAACATTTCTCTTCAATTTCAAAGCAATTCATTAGCCTCACAAGCACTGATATTTTGTTTCATACACTGCTGATATACACAATATAAGTTTTATAACATGACAAAAAAATTAAGATCTTCATTAACTAGTTGCACTTGATGATATTCAATGCACCCCTTTCCTTTAGAAGCTTCATGAATATTCTTATTTGTTGAACTATATTTTCTTAAAAAAAGGCTTCTTTTCAGTATATATGATTCAAATATATCAAAACAAAATGTACACTACAGGAAAATTAAAAATTACCGGCGGTCATTCCGGCGGTTTAACCGACTGTCTGACCACTGGTATTAACCGGCGGTTTACCCGGCAGTGTTTAATAATACACCGCCGGAAATACCGGCGGTATAATAACCCCCGAGTAGGCCGCCGGTTTTCTGTTTTCGCGGCACCTTTACCAGAATCCATATAAACTGACCACCAGAAGCTCTAACATAACTAATTGCGACGACAAAGGAAAGATAAGATATATTCCATAGTTGGAGCATCACAAGGCAGCACGATTGGTCCATCAGACTGTAATCCAAATTCATCTTCAGACATCCTAAATAACTCTCTAAAAATGGATTCCCTCAGATGAGTAAGAGGAATCATGAATCGCTGGCCATCAACACTGTAAACAAAGATATGACCTTTACTTGCAATTTCTCTATCATTTGTAGTTGACAGAAGACTTCTCTTCCCAAAAGAAGCCACTTTTCTACACTTCTTTGCCATCTCCATGATTCTTTTGGAGCTCACCATTTCTTCTTGAGAGTTTTAGATTATGAAAAGGTTATTTTAGGTGAGTTTGAGAGCAAGGAGTTGGGGTTTGAATGGTATTTATAGGGGAAGAAAGAAGAAGACAGATCAATTGGGAATCAAGCAATTTATTCTGATTGTCATGACAATCATTTCTATGGAATATTTATCTCATTTGATAATGATTGATCATGTTGCATGTTGGGGCTGTTATATGGCAGTACTGTTGCCTTGGTACTTTCATTAAGGTTTGGCAAATGACATTTAACATCACCAACATCAACAAAAAAAAGAGAGTTGAAGCTTGCAAGCCATTAGAAACATTAAGGGGTTGTTTGGTGCTGGGAATCTTAGGTGCACAA